CCCCCCCCCTATCGTCATCTATTCATCATGTAAAGATGAAGTCTACACGTGTATCCTTACTAGTAAATACATGTTAAGCTGTAGTCTACACGTGTATCCTTACTGGTAAACATCTGTATAGCTGTTGTCTACATGTGTATACTTACTATTGAGCACCTGTACATCGACAGTCTACACGTGTATACTTACTGGTGAACACCTGTACAGCTATAGCCACACGTGTATACTTACTGGTGAATACCTGTACATCGACAGTCTACACGTGTATACTTACTGGTGAACACCTGTACAGCTATAGCCACACGTGTATCCTTACTAGCGAATACCTGTACATCTATAGTCTACACGTGTATTCTTACCAATAAACACCTGCATATATGTAGTCTACACGTGTATTCTTACTAATAAACACCTACATATATGTAGTCTAAACGTGTATCCATGCTAGTTAACACCTGTATAGCTGTTGTCTACACGTGTATATTTACTAGTGAACACCTGTACAGCTATAGTCTACTCGTGTATCCTTACTAGTGAAAACATGTATAGCTGTAGTCTACACGTGAATCCTTGAATATTTATCAACGGTATATCTATGAATTTCATTTCGTTATATTTTAATCGAGTGGGGCGGGTATGTTGCGGTACGTGGCGCTGCGCGTGCAGTTTGTGGTTTTGTCGGGCCTTACCTGTAAGGGTTTTACCTGTACTTGTCATCGACGAGATTGTTACCGAACCATTCGGACTTACTTTATTTGATCTCGTTAATTAATATGAGCGAAAACACGCCGGGACTTATTAGTTCTGAAGATACTAGGCTTAATGAGGATTCCTGCACTAATCTGACAACAGCAGATGCGCTTTCTCTTTTTTCGTCCCGTTTGGAAAAGGAAGACCAATGTGACTAATAACACTTCCCAGGCCAAGCCATATTCAAGGGGAGGTAATCAACAACTTGGAGGTTTTAGCGGGTTAGCAGCTCATGATTCTAATCAGTTCTTTTTGAGGCCATCAACCAACCACTGGTTTCGTTGGAGAGTTCTTTTCACCAGGATTACAGCCATTTCTCGGTAATGGGTTTCAACAAGCCTTCGGAGGCGGTACCTTCCCATGATGCGGGACTGTCTAGAATTTCTCTAAATTCTACGGACCAGGGTAGTTTGGAAGGGGCGGAAACGGTGGAGGACCGGTCTGTTTTTACTGCAACGGCCCGGAACATTGGGCAAATAACTGCCCCGGAAAGATCAAGTCCTTGCCGTCTAGTAGTCAGACAGCCCTAGGACCCAAGATGTAATTTAACAGCTTCTCAGCCGGTAAGATTTGCGTATACATCTTGTAATATGTCACCTCATAATTCCTTTAAGTTTGAGATGCAAAGCGAAAGTGACGGTATGCAGTTATCTGTCAAAGGTATATTGAGAAACCGTTAAGATTTTTGGAGATATATGTTAAATGTTTCTGAAATATGTGTAACGTAATTGAAACGAGTGATCTAATACCATTTATTGATGAACCATCTAGGTCATTTTCTAACAATGACAAGTCAGCACTTATGCATGGTGAGTTTGTACTCTCGGCTATAGCGGATTTGGTTAAGTCTCGTGTGGTTTTGGAGTGCGATTCCGCACCGTATGTTTTGAATCCGTTATCCGTCCCTGTAAATGGTAAAGGGAAAAAAAGATTAATTTTGGATCTGAGGCACGTAAATTCGTAAGTTGAAAAAACAAAAGTTTAAAATGGAAGAAGTGAAGGAAGCATTTGAATTATGTATCTGCTGAAGGTTTTATGTTTAAGTTTAAGTCTGGTTATCATCATGTCGATTTACATCCAGACCATTTTCGATGTTTAGGCTTTTCGTGGAACGGCTGTGGTGTAACAACATTTTAAGTGTTTACCTGATTACCATTCGTTCTCTCTTCCGCGCCACACATTTTTACAGAGTTGTTTAGACCGTTGGTTAGGAGATGGGGGTCTAAGGGATTTAAAATGGTGGTTTACTAAGATGACCATTTAGGCATTAACGATTCTTCTCAGTCTTCGCTAGAAATGTCGAAGTCTGTTCTGGCTGACTTAAAGGCAGCTGGGTTTTTATCCAACGATCAAAAGAGTGTTTGGTATCCTGTTCAAACGTTGGAGTGGCTAGGTTTTGTGTGGAACCATTAAGATGGAGTGTTGACTATCAATGTAAGTAAAAGGCTGGATATACAGGAGGTAGCACAGTGTGTTGTAGACCCATAAGACGGAGTTTCAGCCAGGGATATAGCTATGCTTACAGGAAAATACAACTCAATCTGGCAAAGCCTTGGTAATGTGTGTAGGTTCAGAACTAGATCATTGCATAGTAACATATGTATGAGGAAGAGTTGGGATGCTGTGGGACAGGTCACTGACAGAGCATTGATAGAAGCCAGGTTTTGGTTGGATACTATTTTAAATTTACCTCACCTAAGTTCGGGCAGTTTGAACCTGATTTTGATCAGCCCATTTTTACTGATGCTAGCAGTTATGCAGGAACGGGTTACTGCGTCGAGTTTGAGGATGTTTTAGTGCATACTATGTGGTCACCTCATGAAACTCGTAAAAGTTATACGTGGAGGGAACTCAAAGCCATAGATATTACACTTCAAAGTCTTTGTCAAAAGTTGTGCAACAAGAGTGTGTTGGTCTGTACAGAAAACCAGAGTGTTCCACATGTTTTAGAGGTTGGCAGTATGTGTACAGATTTACAAGATTAGCTTCGTCAGTGCTCAAATTAACTGAGAAATATCATTTTTCTTTGTGTATTCAGTGGATACCTCTCGGAGGTAATGTCGTAGCTGATCAGTTTAGTAGAATTATTAATTTTGACGACTAGAAAGTCCACGAGAGTATTTTTCTATTATTTGATAGTCAATGGGGCCCACACACTTGCCATTTGTTTGCAGACAACAGCAATACCAAGGTCACCACATTCTTTTCTAAGTACGCATGCCCGGGTTCAAATGGGGTCAAAGCATTCGCTTTTGATTGGTCAGTTTATAAATATTGGGCGGTTCCACTTGTGTGCTTGATATCGAGAACTATCAATCATTTTCGAGCGTGCAAAGCCAGGGGTACTTTAGTTGTCCCACGTTGGCAGTCGGCAGCATTTTGGCCGTTATTAGTTTCTAAGACGGTAGGCAAATACAATGACTTCGTGGTGGATGTGGTAGAGTATATGAAACCAACTCGTTTTTTCAAAGCGGGTTCACAGGTTAACAGTGTGATCACACTTACACCGTTTCAAACTAATGTTTTAGTCCTCAAGGTTGTCTTTGCCCGTTAATTAGTCTAACATTTTCAGTGTTTTTGCGCATGTCTATTGGAGACGAAACCTATTTGGAGTTTCGTGTTATGATGCACGTATGCTTGTTGCAGCGTGTAATTTTATTCCCATGTTGGGATCAGGGGTGGCGGACCTTTTGTTTAACACTTTTTTATTGATATTAACTTTTTGTTGTAATATTTAGAACTTTTCTTTGCTTTTAATGATATTCAGAATTCAAGAGTCGGATTAAGATCTATTTGGGATGAAATTAGAAACATGGAGCAGAATCCCATTCTTAATCACGCAGTAGTCAATGCCGAACGTGTATTTAGAGCCAATCGAGCTGCCACTACTGTCAAGAAATATGATTTCTATTTTGTCAAGTTTAGGGACTGGTGTAATCTTGTGAAGTTAGGTTTTTTACCAGCGAAAGTTAGTACCGTGATTGTTAACCTGTCAGTTTTGGTGCAGGAGTCTGTCTCTGTTTCGGTCTTAAATTCACACTTTTATAGCATTAAATGGCAGCATGATTTTGCGGCAGTGTCAAACCCTTGTAACGATAAATTTGTTTTGACAATATTCGAAGGTGCGAAAAGATTGTTAACCAAACCTGTCGTTAAGAAGTCACCTTTGTTGGCGATTCATTTGTTGAAAACTGGAAAATTTTGGTGATAACAACATTTATTTAGATCAGAGAGTTTGTACTATATGTCTGATCGGATTTGCTGGATTTTTTCGTTTCAGTGAGCTTGTGGGGCTGAAAATGTCAGATTTATCATTTTTTACTTCACACGTAGAAATCACCATAGATAGTAGCAAAACTGATGTTTATAGGCAGGGTAATAAGGTTTGCTCGAACAGGGAGTTCAGCATGTCCTGTCATGCACTTAGAAAGGTATATAGGTTTAGCTAAAATCGACAGTAAGTCAGGTCAGTTTTCTTTTTAGAGCGGCGACATTTTTGAAAGCCACAGGCAGCCACTTTCTCTGAAAGATCGACAAGCCTCTGTCATATACAACGACGAGAGACATTTTTCTTGACGCTATTTCTAGCATTGGTTTAAATATAGCAAATTTTGGTCTACATAGTTTGAGAGGTGGCGGAGCCACTCAGGCAGCGAATCAAGACATTCCGGATTGTTTGTTTAAAGCTCATGAAAGGTGGAAGTCAGAAACTGCTAAAGACGGTTATGTTTTAGATGATCTGCCCCATTAGTTATCTGTGTCTAAAAAAATAGGATTATAAATAATTCTGCTGCACATACCCACTTGCCTTTGGATAATCGAGATAGTATTACTTTGTAACAATTCCGTAATGCTAATTATAGATTATAAAGAATTTCTGTCTTGTTTTCTTATTTGAATTGAAATATTTAGAGATGAAATGATTTATGTGCGTATGAGTACGAATTTCATTTCGTTTTATTTTAATCGAGTGGGGCAGGTATGTTGCGGTGCATGCTGCTGCACGTGCAGTTTGTGGTTTTGTCGGGCCTTACCTGTAAGTGTTTTACCTGTACTCGTCATCGACGAGATTGTTACCGAACCATTCAGACGTACTTTATTCTATTTTTTAATAAAAAAATAAATTCAAAAATTCATGCTGTATCTTAAATATGTCAGACGATAGTAGTTCCTTTTTTCAGTGGTTTATAGAAATGATCTGTACAAGAAGTTAATTATGGTATTTATATTGTAGAATTGGATTATAATTCTGAATCTTCAGGTTCAACGTTCCAGGACTTACTCGGAAACGCGCCAGTGGACTTTTCAGACTGTGTACATTTAAAGGCGTGTTCCGAAGTGGGCCTTGGCTTCGTAATCTTTGTAGTCGTATTTATGTATATAGGAGCATTCGATTACGAGCTGTTGTGTTTGAAATTTTTCATAGACTGGTTTCATCATTTAATGTTTTTCAATATGCAATATCTAACGTCCGATAATCGAGATATTATTACTTTGTAACAATCCCGTAATGCTAATTATAGTTTATAAAGAATTTCTGTCTTCTGTTCTTTTTTGAATTGAAATATTTAGAAATGAAATAATTTATGTGCGTATGAGGTACGAAGTTCTACGTAAGTAGCCGTAACACACCTACAAGCCGTAGTTTACTCGTGTGTTGCCACTGGTTAAAACCTGTCTATCCTTTTTGTCGTATGTGGAAACGGCATCTTTCTCATTTGCTGAAAGGATACCTAATATACCAACATTATTTTTCTAGCCCTTTTCATTATTTTTGATTGTTTTGGTCTCTTGTGCTTCTTTTGTTTTTCAAACCCGTAAGCGGTGTTTGATCTGTAAGCACTTTTTCCACTTCCGGTGCTTCCCCAGGCATGAAAGCCTTCTGGGAAATTTAGGCCGCATAATATCTACAAAAATATAAAAGTAAACCCTACGATATCAGTGCCTATAACATTTTACTAGTGAAATATCATGAGTTCTCCATTTGATAAAGACATAACTTTAATGCAGTGAAGATAAATCTTGTAATATATATGTCTCTGCCTCAACCAGACATTTGAAATTTAGCATATTATTCAAAGAGGTGCTACGATTAACGCTTTACGCAAAAGACAGTTAACATTTTATCCAAAGGTAGATTGTCAATAGAAATAATTGTAAAAATCGTGACAGGTATAAATTATATTTTATGTTAATCATATACTATTCTCTCCCTCTCTCTCACTCTTAGACAATTATTGAGTGACAGTAGTGTAACACGTAAGGATATGGAGAGTGAACGGATAATTCTGAACAATTAAGTTAATGCTATAAGTAAATATATTTTAAGAACAATTTCAAGAATGCAGGAACCGTTCCAGCGTGGTTGTTGGACTGTCATTAAGAAATTTTCATTAAAAAAGATTTGATGTCCAGCGGTTTTGTTTTATTTTCTTGTGATTCCAATGGATTCGTCTTACACATATCAGCTTATATGTTATGTGCATTGTTAATTTAATATTTGAGCAGGATACAATGTTCAACCCCTATGTCCAAATTGTAATATTTTGTGAAATAATGATAGGTTGCCACGTATCACCTTGAAAGTACGTCATACTAATCAAGTACGTTTTATTTCAGCAACGGAAGCGTTTATTGTTTTTTTGGAGCCGGATTCTTCTCTAATGTCGATGGCCAAAACATCTTGAGCGCTCGGCTCATCTCTGAAGAGTTAACCATAGCGCTGAATGTCCTTACTGATGATGTGAACACTGCCGCTGATGTGAAGCTGTTCTTAGCAGATATAGATCGATCATCACCGATTCAGGGCTTATTGAGAGGTAAATAGTTTTTCCCAATTTTTGATTTACATGTAAAGATAAATAATTAACAATATTGTTTCTTAAAAATACATTGCATGTTTAGAACAACCAACCCTTTAACACAGTCCCTACCTCGGTACGTTGGCGGTGTCCACCACAACGGTAATCAGGCTGTATTACCCACATGTGGTTTAAACCAGGGTCTGTTTAATATTCTCGATATTACGTGATTTATGATTGGATCTGTTTTGTTTTCTCGTTATCACGTGGATTAAAATTGGATCTGCTTTCTATTCTCGTTATCACGTTGCTTATGATTCAATCTGTCTTGTATTCTCGTTATCACGTGGTGTGTGATTGGATATGTTTTGTATAATTGTTATCACGTGGTTTATGATTGGATCTGTTTTGTTTTCTTGTTATCACGTGGTATATGATTTGATCTGTTTTGTTTCTTCGTTATCACGTGGTTTATGATTGGCTCTGTTTTGTTTTCTCGTTATTACGTGATTTATGATTGGATCTGTTTTGTTTTCTCGTTATCACGTGGATTAAAGTTGGATCTGCTTTCTATTCTCGTTATCACGTTGCTTATGATTCAATCTGTCTTGTATTCTCGTTATCACGTGGTTTATGATTGGATCTGTTTTGTTTTCTTGTTATCACGTGGTATATGATTGGATCTGTTTTGTATTCTCGTTATCACGTGGTATATGATTGGATCTGTTTTGTTTTCTCGTTATCACGTGGTATATGATTGGATCTGTTTTGTATTCTCGTTATCACCTGGTTTATGATTGGATCTGTTTTATATTCTCCTCCTCAGTTGGTTTATGATTTGACCTTTTTCCTCCGTTATCACTTAATTCATGGTTGGATCTGTGTTATATTCTCGTTACCACGTGGTTAATGATTTGAACTGTTTTGTATTCTCGTTATCATGTGGTGTATTACTTGACGTTTTCTCGTGGTTAATCTGTTTTGTTTTACACTTGCTAGATTAGTTTCATAATCTTTTTATCACGCGGTTAATCTGTTTTGTTTTACACTTGTTAGATTAGTTTTATAATCTTTTTATCTCGTGTTTAATCTGTCTTGTTTTACACTTATTAGATTAGTTTTATAATCTTTTTATCTCGTGGTTAATCTGTCTTGTTTTACACTTGTTAGATTAATTATATAATCATTTTTATCTCGTGGTTAATCTGTCCTGTTTTATACTTGTTATATTAGTTTTATGAACTTTTTATTACTTGGTTAATCTGTTTTGTTTTACACTTGTAAGATTAATTATATAATCTTTTTATCTCGTGGTTAATCTGTCTTCAGTCACAAGGATGTTACATGTTTTTTATTCAATGCATTACGTGGTAAATATGTCGTGGTCTATACTGGTATGACATGTTTTATGGTAGTTACAATGTATTTACCACGTAGCTAGTCGATCGTAGTTGATAATGGTCTCTATGTTATTGTTTTTATGCGGATATATTTGATGTTCTCTTTTTTTATGCAGTTGATACTTTTATATGATGTATCAGGTGATTGCTACTGTGGTCCGTTATATGCTTTTTTATCATGAGTCAGTCAGATTAACAGACAGGTTTCTTTCATAAATTATAACCTTACATTAAAACACATATAGGCAATTTGAATTAATCTACTTATTTTGTTTACAGCGGTATCACAGGTCAGAACAACGACAACTACCACAACTACAACTCCAACTACCACAACTACCACTCCAACCACAACAACTACCACTCAAACCACAACAACTACCACTCCAACCACAACAACTACCACTCCTACCACAACAACTACCACTCCAACCACAACAACTACCACTCCAACTTCAACAACTACCACTCCAACCACAACAACTACAACTCCAGACACAACAACTACCACTCCAGACACAACAACTACCACTCAAGCCCCCGCTTCAACCACCACATCTACCATAACTACTCCAACCACACCAACCCCGACGACTACAGTCCCAGTGGGTAAGTTTAAAGTCAAAATTGTATAGACGCATTCAGAGGTGTGTTTTACATAAACCTGCCAACATACAATGTGTAGACCCTGCTGGTGGGGCTTTTAGATCGCGATGTTGGTCGTCAGATTAATAGCCACATTTATATCTTTTGAGTTGTTGCACAGTTCATACTATACAGACCTTATTAAATATTTAATATCAATTCACCAATACTCCTATGATGTTTGCAAATCATATCAATAGGGGGTATAACGCATCTTATCTCAAAAAGTAGTAGCGATTTCCAACTTTTCAGCTCCTGGCATCACCGATGAGTCTTAGAAGGACGCAACAGTTGTATGGTGCAGCGTAATTCATTTCGGCATACTGTATCTATTACAAAAGTGTACAGGTGCAATATAATGTGTATGTCCTACATTAATCTAGCATTATTAACACTCAACAAACTAAATGCCTTTTACCTAAGTTATCTATGCGAATCGCCTTCGAGGGTAGCAATTCCTCCGACATGAGAAACAGAGTCTAGACTATTAGACAGGATTGTTAAAAACTGACTTCAACAATAAATTATACAAATGTCTAATCAGTTATATAACTGTGTAATTGCGAATAAATCTTCTATCTGTTCTATCCCTTATGATTAGTCATGCACGTTGAGGTTTCAATTTGTATGGGGTTAACGGTTCCAGTATTATAGCTATCATTATAATCATCATTATCATCATCATCATCAATCATCATCATCATCATCATAATCATCATCATAACCTGGACTATGCTCTATTTAAAGATCACTCGAAAGAGTTTCCATCTTGTCTGTGTGGCGATGCTTATGAAACTGCTACACATTATCTTTCACAATGTCCAATGTATACTGATGAGAGACAACTTTAATAAATGAGATTTTTGAAGTGTGTCCGGTCAATCTTGATACTAAAACACTTCTTAATGGAAGCACTATGTTAAACAATACTGAAAATAAATATATACTTGATAGTGTTCTTAAATATATATACAACACAAGTAGACTTGTTTAATTAATCAAACAATCTATAAATTTTGTTATATATAGTCATAACTGATAAAATACTGTCCTTAAACCATTATGTGATTCTACTGATTGTTATATATATACATTGATGTTTTAATATTGTACACCTAAGGGATTAAGCTTTGGGTGCTGTTTTTACTGATGGGTGCAAGTAAGTAAAACATAAATGTGCTAAGTTAGAGACTTTTTGTCTGAAACTCGATGGGATGAAAGATTTACACATAGAACACTGGCAATACATCTTACACATATACTATATTTTCCAAACCTTCTAGCTGAATTGCCTCATTTTATTTTTTCATATTTTGATGTTGTATACCTTACTTTTTATCAATCCTACCAATGATATATATATTGATACTAAATGGTTCTATACTTTTAACTACTTCATGCAACAGCAGCAGGGTATAAACAGGGGGCATTCATGACTTGCAATTTTTTTTTACAATTTTAGCAATTTCTCTGTTTAATATATTATTAGGGCATTGCTTTCCTATTACTAATTAATTATGATTGACATTTTAATATGAGCATTGTATAGCTAAAAATATCAATTAAATATTTATATGTAATTGAAACATACATGGAATTATCTCCCCTATACCATCTGCTATATATTTATATGTCTATGCTACTTATTATATATGATTTGCATCAATATTTTCTTACAAACCATTTCATTCATCTTTGTCTTTGTCATGTCAACCTAAGGAGAGAACTTATATAGGCCTAGCCTGCTGTTCAATCCTATTGTTTACTCAATAAAATATGATGAAATGAAAATGAAAAAATCATCATAAAATAGGTCCGAAGTAATCAATGTTTATTCCAGCAGTTAAATAGTAGTAGAAACTGAACATTCTTTACGATGTTGGATTTATCTGAAATTAAACGTCCTTGTACATGTATCAGCCAAGGTCACATGAGAACGGGTGCCAAAGGAGACACCTACAAACAAGCAGGGAAGGGGGGAAAAGAGGGAAGACAGAGAAAGAAACAAATATAGATCTCGGATGTTGTAATGGGGGTAGCAGATCATTTTTTGTTCTTTAATGTACCCTAAACATAAAAAAGTAAACTTTCTGCAGGTCCCTCAACATCAGTCACCTCCTACGATATAGGATTCTTGTCTTTCTCCGAACCTACAAGGGTGTCCAGGGGTACGGAACTCGTGTTAACGGTACAGCTCGTGTCTAGGTTGTGACAAATGCAAAGGGGAAGGACTATTGTAGGGGTCGAGGAAACCTTCTTAGATGTTCATTGACGAAATATATCATTTCAAGGACAAGGAGTGATGTAACATAAAGCAGTTGGATGTAATTGCAAGGAAAGAGGTAACGCCGTTTTGGGTAAGAATGGGTTAATAGAAGAGCTTCTGTAAGGTAAATGTATGGGGTATTGTGTGGATATAATAAGGATGATAGTTAGACCTGATAGTGACTGTACAAGTATCTGTAAATTTGAGTTAAAAATTAAATATATACAGCTGTATATGAATCTTAAAACACAGTTTTCTTATATCATTTTCTACCTTCTGTTTTCAGATGTCCCAACGGTGACAGTTACTGTCACAGATTTGATAGCAACGGCTGGTGATAACGTAACATTGGGCTGTAACGTGACGGGGTACCCCAATATTACCGAGGTATACTGGCAGAGGATGGTCAATGGATGGGGACCGGAAACACTAGTAATTGATGGAGTTGATTACACAGGCGTGACTCTGGATGACCCTTCTTTAACAATTATTACCATAGAAACTGCCGACAGTGCTGTATACGTGTGTAAAGCCAACAACAGTGTGGGGACCGGAAGTGGTGACTACGTCACTCTCATGGTTCAAGGTCAGTATAAAACACGAAATAACCAAATGCAATTTGTTACATTGTTGTTGTAGTTTACCATTGACATTTGGTATGAGTGTTTATTTAGATACAATTAGAGGACGTTGAAAAACATTGACGAAGACTCCTATGATGTTTGCAAATTATATAAACAGAGAGTAAAGCACACCTTATCTCAAAAAGTAATAGCTTTGACCAATAATGATTTCCAACTTTTCAACTCCTAGCATCATCGATGAGTCTTAGAAGATGCCAACAATTGTATGGTGTAGCGTAATTCATTTCGGCATACTGTATCTATTACAAAATTGCACAGGTGCAAAATAATGTGTATGTCCTACATTAATCTAGCATTATTAACACTCAACAAAGCAAATGCCTTTAACCTAAGTTATCTATGCGAATCGTCTTCGAGGGTATCAACTCCTCCGACATGAGAAACAAGGTCTAGACTATTAGACAGGATTGTTAAAAACTGACTTCAACAATAAATTATACAAATGTCCAATCAGTTATATAACTGTGTAATTGCGAATAAATCTTCTACCTGTTCTATCCCTTATTCTTAGTCATGCACGTTGAGGTTTCAATTTATAGCTATCATTATAATCATCATCATTATCATCATCATCATCATCATCATCATCATCATCATAAAATAGGTCCGAAGTACTCAATGTTTATTCCAGCAGTTAAATAGTAGTTGTAACTGAGCATTCTTTACGATGTTGGATTTATCTGAGGATAAACGTGCTGGTAACAGTCAAGGTCACAAGCGATAAACGTGCTGGTAACAGTCAAGGTCACATGAGAACGGGTGGTAACAGTCAAGGTCACATGAAAACGGGTGCCAAAGGAGACACCAACAAACAAGCAGGGTAGGGGAAAAAGAGGGAAGACAGAGAAAGAAACAAATATAGATCTCGGATGTTGTAACGGGGTAGCAGATACATTTTTTTGTACTTCAGTGTACCCTAAACTTAAAAAAAGTAAACTGTCTGCAGGTCGCTCAACATAAGTCACCTCCTACGATATAGGATTCTTGTCTTTCTCCGAACCTACAGGGGTGTCCAGGGGTACGGATATTCGTGTTAACGTTACGGTTCGTGTCTAGGTTGTGACAGATGCAAAGGGGAAGGACTATTGTAGGGGTCGAGGAAACCTTTTTAGATGTTTATTGACGAAATATATCATTTCAAGGACAAGGAGTGATGTAACATAAACCAGATGGGTGTTATTGCAAGGGAAGAGGTAACGCCGTTTTGGGTAAGAATGGGTTACTAGAAGAGCTTCTGTAAGGTAAATGTATGGGTTATTGTGTGGATATAAGGAGAATGATAGTTAGACCTGACAGTGACTGTACAAGTATCTGTAAATTTCAGTAAATAAATAAATATATACAGCTGTATATGTATCTTAAAACACAGTTTTCTTATATCATTTTCTACCTTCTGTTTTCAGATGTCCCAAAGGTGACAGTTACTGTCACAACTTTGATAGCAACGGCTGGTGATAACGTAACATTGGGCTGTAACGTGACCGGGTACCCCAATATTACCGAGGTATACTGGCAGAGGATGGTCAATGGAGGAGAACCGGAAACACTAGTAATTGATGGAGTTGATTACACAGGCGTGACTCTGGATGACCCTTCTTTAACAATTATTACCATAGAAACTGCCGACAGTGCTGTATACGTGTGTAAAGCCAACAACAGTGTGGGAACCGGAAGTGGTGACTACGTCACTCTCATGGTTCAAGGGAAGTATAAAACACGAATTAACCAAATGCAATTTGTTACATTGTTGTTTTGGTTTACCATTGACATTTGTTATGAGTGTTTATTTCGATACACTTAGAGGAAGTTAACAAAGGGGAGATAAACTTTCTGAACATGTTCATCAGGTTGTATACAGATCCATATTGTTGATAACAATGAGATAAATGTTTTCGTGGCATTTTGATGTAGTGTATTTACTGTGTCACCATCATTACACAAACAACCGCTGATGCGCATTAAAATAAGGAGTTGGCAAATCCAAATCGCCGTCATTTTGGCTAAGCTTTCGAAGCATGAACTGTTAATTTTTATAAAGTACGAAATGAAAAAATCATATGGTCGAGGCGATTCGGCAACGATTTGTTGAATACCTGGTTATAAATGTATGAGAAACATGATACCTCATTCCGATTCATAGTTGATGCGCTTTGGCATTTCAATTCTTTTATCGTCGCTTAAACGCTTGCTTTCTGTCCAGAGGCTATTTGTTGGAAAGCGACGGTCAGATTTGACATTGGTTTGAATGTATCTTTAAGCTTCATAACACGAAAAAAAGCTTCTATTTAAGAAAACCGTGTAATCAATCTTGAACAGACTATGTTTGAAAATAATTTGTATAGATTAAGCTGCTATCTGCTATTGTTTTGTATCCTCTTGTTTAAAGATGTTCCAACGGTGACAGTTTCTTCCGGTAATTTGATTGTGACGGCTGGTGATAACGTAACATTAGGCTGTAACGTGACGGGGTACCCCAATATTACCGAGGTGTACTGGCAGAGGATGGTCAATGGAGGGGAACCGGAAACATTAGCAATTGATGGAGTTGATTACACAGGCGTGACTCTGGATGACCCTTCTTTAACAATTATTACCGTAGAAACTGCCGACAGTGCTGTATACGTGTGTAAAGCTAACAACAGTGTGGGGACTGGAAGTGGTGACTACGTCACTCTCATGGTTCAGGGTCAGTATATACCATCCATTAACTAATTGTCATTCATTTGATTCACTAGTTCATGCAAGCTATAGAATAATGCATGTAGCTATTAATGAAGAGGCAAGAAAGGACTTTTTACAAAGAGGAATGCAGATTATGTATTAGCAAATAGAGTTCCTTTCAGTATGGGAAAAGATATTAGTTTTGCAGAAAATTTTAATTCAGAGTGAATATTATTGCAAGTGAAGAAATAGCATTAGACCTATTGCCTATGAATAGTTATATTTTTTCAAGACGACGATTATTTCTGTTGGCCGAATGGAATATGTTCAGTCTCGATGGATAACATGATTCCTGTAGCATAGGGGAGAGCGTGTATACAGACTAAGGGCTCAAGCTGTAAAAAGACAGGACATTTGATTGTTTTAAAGGGGTTGACAATTGGGCAATATGACGAATAATTGTTGGAAGTTGAGAGATTGGATGTTTACTAATTCAAAGGGAATTATTTCCAGTTTAAATACCTGATCTTTTGTGAGTAAAGTAAGAAGATATTAAATGACAACAAACAAAGATGCCACGAGTGCGAGTGTAAGAGCTGAAAGTTATTTTTAAGAAAAATGTGGCATTATTGTTTGGTGTTTAAGAAATATTATGGTGCAGTAAGTTGATGTTTGTTGGAATGTGATTGTCAGTTTTTCGTCTGCTACCAAGGTATATCTAAATTTTAAAATTAATTTTCAAAGCTTAACCCGTAATTATTCTGCAACATCTTGTGTATAGATGTTCCAACAGTGACAGTTTCTGCCGGTAATTTGATTGTGACGGCTGGTGATAACGTAACATTGGGCTGTAACGTGACGGGGTACCCCAATGTTACCGAGGTATACTGGCAGAGGATGGTCAATGGAGGAGAACCGGAAACACTAGCAATAAATGGAGTTGATTACACAGGCGTGACTCTGGATGACCCTTCTTTAACAATTATTACCGTAGACATTGCCGACGGTGCCGTGTATACGTGTAGAGCCAACAACAGTTTAGGGACCGGACGTAGTGCCTACGTCAATCTAATGGTTCAAGGTTAGTATACTACCCATACAAATTGTTCATTGGGTTCAGTTGTGCCAGTGGTTGTTGCATATTACTTACAAACTTTGTTTTAAGACTTAATGTATATACAAAGATAGCTTTGAAACAAGGAGAAAGACAATGTGTGAACAGATGTTGGTCGTTTCATAAAGACAGGTTCGTGCAATCCTGATTCAAAGGGAGGGTTCGTTTAAAGGCATGTTTGTAGATGCAAGATATTGAAGGTTTAGCAGTATCACAAATTGTACCAATGAAAGAGGATTCTAGAGATACATGGTACAGTTTTTCTAATGAAAAGTAAGTTTTTATCAGATCAAAGAATATATATGCATGTCTAATGAAAGATATCAAAATAATGGACTGTTATATAAATTTAGGGAAGAGATCTTAAATATATCGAAGGGGATAATTGCCATGGTAATAAAATTGATATTTTATAAGTAAAAGTAGAGGTTATTCTACGAAAAATATGAGGCTGGCCTTGGTAGGAAAAGAATATGTGGAATCCTTGTTAGACTAAAGGAAAATTTGATGTAAGGAAATGTGCTATTAGATGAAATGTGATAAACAAATTTGACACTGTTATGAATATATCTGAATTTCAGAACAGAACTTTATTATTTATGATTGAATTGAATTCTCTATAAGATAATCTTGTTATCATTTTTTCAAGATGTTCCCACGGTGACAGTTTCTTCCGGTAATTTGATTGTAATGGCTGGTGATAACGTAACATTGGGCTGTAACGTGACGGGGTACCCCAATATTACCGAGGTGTACTGGCAGAGGATGGTCGATGGAGGGGAACCGGACACACTAGTAATTGATGGAGTTGATTACACAGGCGTGACTCTGGATGACCCTTCTTTAACAATTATTACCATAGAAACTGCCGACAGTGCTGTATACGTGTGTAAAGCCAACAATAGTGTGGGAACCGGAAGTGGTGACTACGTCACTCTCATGGTCAAAGGTCAGTATAAAACACGAATTAACCAAATGCAATTTGTTACATTGTTGTTGTAGTTTACCATTGACATTTGGTATGAGTGTTTATTTAGATACAATTAGAGGACGTTGAAAAAAATTGACGAAGACTCCTATGATGTTTGCAAATTATATAAACTGAGAGTAAAACGCGCCTTATCTCAAAAAGTAGTAGCGATTTCCAACTTTTCAGCTCCTAGCATCACCGACGAATCTTAGAAGGATGCCAACAGTTGTATGGTGTAGCGTAACTCATTTCGGCATACTGTATCTATTACAAAAGTGTACAGGTGCAATATAATGTGTATGTCCTACATTAATCTAGCATTATTAACACTCAACAAACTGAATGCCTTTTGCCCAAGTTATCTATGCGAATCGTCTTCGAGGGAATCAACTCCTCCGACATGAGAAACAAGGTCTAGACTATTAGACAGGATTGTTAAACTGACTTCAACAATAAATTATACAAATGTCCAATCAGTTATATAACTGTGTAATTGCGAATAAATCTTCTATCTGTTCTATCCCTTATTATTAGTCATGTACGTTGAAGTTTCAATTAGAATGGGTTTAACGGTTCCAGTATTATAGCCATCATTATAATCATCATCATCATCATCATCATCATCATCATAAAATAGGTCCGAAGTACTTAATGTTTATTCCAGCAGTTTAATAGTAGTAGAAACTGAACATTCTTTACGATGTTGGATTTATCTGAGATTAAATGTCCTTGTATCAGTCAAGGTCACATGAGAACGGGTGTCCAAGGAGACACCTACAAACAAGCAGGGAAGGGGAAAAAAGAGGGAAGACAGAGAAAGAAACAAATATAGATCTCGGATGTTGTAATGGGGGTAGCAGATCATTTTTTTGTTCTTCAATGTACCCTAAACATAAAAAGTAAACTTTCTGCAGGTCCCTCAACATAAGTCGCCTCCTACGATATAGGATTCTTGTCTTAGTCCGAACCTACAAGGGTGTCCAGTGGTACGGAACTCGTGTTTACGGTACAGCTCGTGTCTAGGTTGTGACAAATGCAAAGGGGAAGGACTATTGTAGGGGTCGAGGAAACCTTCTTAGATGTTCATTGACGAAATATATCATTTCAAGGACAAGGAGTGATGTAACATAAAGCAGTTGGATGTAATTGCAAGGAAAGAGGTAACGCCGTTTTGGGTAAGAATGGGTTTGTTCTGAAAGATGTTAAAAAGTTACTAGAAGAGCTTCTGTAAGGTAAATGTATGGGGTATTGTGTGGATATAAGAAGGATGATAGTTAGACCTGACAGTGACTGCACAAGTATCTGTAAATTTGAGTTAAAAATAAATATATAAAACTGTATATGAATCTTAAAACACAGTTTTCTTATATCATTTTCTACCTTCTGTTTCCAGATGTCCCAACGGTGACAGTTACTGTCACAGATTTGATAGCAACCGCTGGTGATAACGTAACATTGGGCTGTAACGTGACGGGGTACCCCAATGCTACCGAGGTCTACTGGCAGAGGATGGTCAATGGAGGAGAACCGGAAACACTAACAATTGATGGAGTTGATTACACAGGCGTGACTCTGGATGACCCTTCTTTAACAATTATTACCATAGAAACTGCCGACAGTGCTGTATACGTGTGTAAAGCCAACAACAGTGTGGGAACCGGAAGTGGTGACTACGTCACTCTCATGGTTCAAGGTCAGTATATACCGTTTGTTAACGTAATGTCTTTCATTTCTAACGGTAGTTACTGCAGGTTACTGACAATTTCGTTCTGCCGTTAATTAAGATGCAAGGACGGACATTAAAAAAGATAAATGCTGTTTTAGAGTGTATTGGCAGTTAGGGATCTTTGGTTAAGAGCGACTATACTTGCAAGAGGGGAACTCTAATCATTGCTTATCGAAAGCTGTTCAGGAAGACGACAGTTGTTGGTACACGTCAAATGAAATGGGTACAATTTGGTAAACATAGTGCTTCTTGAAGCGTGACCTGAAATATTATTGAAGTATAAGTGTTGGAACTTTATAAAACAGGAGGAGGTTTGGCGGTTGTTTAAAATGATAGGGATTGATTTTTAAGGAAGGCGATGTATTTTTATTTTAAACTTAGGGATTTTATCTTAAATATTTTAAAGTGGTTTATTTAAGGGACCAAAGTGATGTTTCCATAGCAACAGATAAGGTTGTCTAGGATACGAGTAAAATGGCAGACGAGTATATTGGTAGAGGAGTATATGGGCAGACGAGTATATGGGTAGACAACTATATGGGCTGAAGGGTTATTTGGAAGTAAAGATTTGATTGTTTAATGGGTAAAAGGAACATTTGTTGTCACATAATGTAATGTGTAATATGTATGCAAATTTCGGAAAAAGGTAAATTATGTCCTGTCATTATTTTCATCTCTGGTTTAAAGATGTTCCAACTGTGACGGCTCCAGTTGTCTCTTGGAATTTAACGGCTGGTGAAAATGTGACATTAGCCTGTAACGTGACGGGGTACCCCAATGTGACCGAGGTCTACTGGCAGAGGATGGTCATTGGAGGGGAACCGGAAACACTAGCAATTGATGGAGTTAAATACGCAGGCGCCACCCTCGAGGACGCTTCCCTCACAATTAACACCGTAAGGGGACCCGACAGTGCTGTATATATTTGCAAAGCAAACAACAGCATTGGGACCGGAAGTGGCGCCTCTGTCACTCTCGTTGTTCAAGGTCAGTATATTTTGCCGTATACGTGTCATTCGTTTGTAACCTTAGTTGTCGGATGTGACCGATAAAAATTGCCATTGGGTTAAAAAGAGTAATTTCAAAAAAGATGAAGTAGAGTACGCACTCATGTCTTCTACATTTAGTGTTAATTACGGAGAAGCACTTTGATTATTGCTGGTCAGACGCTTCGGCTAGACAAAAAGTAAATGTGATTCCTGTAACATGTTCGAAAATGTAGGGTAGGTAGGTAGGTTACACATTTTATTTTAACAAATAACTTTATATAGTTTGTATAGGAGAGTGATCTGAACTTCAACAGTGCTTCTTTGAAAATTGCCTTAAACATTTTAGGGTAGGCACAAAAACTTTGGGTAGGTAGAGTTACCGGAAAGACCAGATATGTTTTGTTTGGTCTTACTAAAGGCCAATGCTGTTTTAGGGCGAATCATATTATTTATGAATGGCCAATAGGAAAAAGGAAAAACAATTTAGTATATAATTATGTTTCATACAAAACATATATGTTAAAGTTGTACCAAAATATGAGAAATAGTTTGGAGTTAAACTTTCTAGCGACAGCTAAGGTCATATGAAGACGGATGTGTTTCTGTGATGTTCCGTACGTAGTGAATGACACTTCCCAATGACATGAAGTTGGCACAACAGGCATATTCTTTCCTGTGCAATTGAAGCGGTTTGTGTCAAATGAAGTATGTTTAAGCAAATCAGTATTTTCTCAGTGTAAGGGATAGACCAGCAGCTGAATAATTGGTATGGTTACTGCTAAGAATATGTAGGGCTGTTGCAATGCACAAATATGGAATAACTAATTAAGAGGTAGATATTTTACGGTATAAGGGCTGGGTGGTCATCAGGAAATGAGGAAGGTTGGGTATGAGTAAGGTTTAACACTAACATTGATGTTTTTTGTGGCTGTACGGTTAGAGACAATGAGAAAAAAGGGTCTCCAATTAGATTATTTGCAGTAGTAACAGCAGGATTGTTGGTGTATAACAATTACAAGAAATATATGCACGAATAAGATTAAGTGAGACCATGAAGAAAGAAAACGAAGGCAAAAGGTAATGTTGCTTTAGAGTAACGCGTATGTGTGTAATACAGTAAGGGATAGTACGTTATATATAGTATGTGTGTAATACAGTAAGAGATAGTACGTTCTATATAGTATGTGTGTAATACAGTAAGGGATAGTACGTTATATATAGTATGTGTGTAATACAGTAAGGGGTAGTACGTTATATATAGTATGTGTGTAATACAGTAAGAGATAGTACGTTATATATAGTACGTGTGTAATACAGTAAGGGGTAGTACGTTATATATAGTATGTGTGTAATACAGTAAGGAATGGTACGTTATATATAGTATGTGTGTAATACAGTAAGGGATAGTACGTTATATATAGTATGTGTGTAATACAGTAAGGGACAGTTCGTTATATATAGTATGTGTGTAATACAGTAAGGAATGGTAAGTTATATATAGTATGTGTGTAATACAGTAAGGGACAGGGTTGTTATATAGCGTGGGGAATGTTTGTGTTATATAGGGTTGTAACACTGTTAATAGAAGATGTGTGTAATACAGTAAGGGATAGTACGTTATATATAGATACAGTAAGGAATGGTACGTTATATATAGTATGTGTGTAATACAGTAAATGATAGAACGTTATATATAGTATGTGTGTAATACAGTAAATGATAGAACGTTATATATAGTATGTGTGTAATACAGTAAATGATAGAACGTTATATATAGTATGTGTGTAATACAGTAAGGAATGGTAAGTTATATATAGTATGTGTGTAATACAGTAAGGGGTAGTACGGTATATATAGTATGTGTGTAATACAGTAAGGGACAGTTCGTTATATATAGTATGTGTGTAATACAGTAAGGGACAGTTCGTTATATATAGTATGTGTGTAATACAGTAAGGAATGGTAAGTTATATATAGTATGTGTGTAATACAGTAAGGGACAGTACGTTTTATATAGTATGTGTGTAATTTAGTAAGGGATAGTACGTTATATATAGTATGTGTGTAAAACAGTAAGGGGTAGTACGTTATATATAGTATGTGTGTAATACAGTAAGGGACAGGGTTGTTATATAGCGTGGGGAATGTTTGTGTTATATAGGGTTGTAACACTGTTAATAGAAGGGTTGCTATATAGGATTGTAAAAATGTTAATAGAAGGGTTGTTATATAGGGTTGTAACACTGTTGATAGAAGGGTTGTTATATAGGGTTGTAACACTGTTGATAGAAGGGTTGTTATATAGGGTTGTAAAACTGTAAGGGGAAAGGTTGTTATATATGGTTGTAACACTTTTAGTGGGAAGGGTTGTTATATAGGGTTGCTATAACACTTTTAGGGGGAAGGGTTGTTATACAGGGTTGCTATAAACCTGTAAGGGGAAGGGTTGTTATATATGATTATAACACTGTAGGTGGAAGGGTAGTTATATAGGGTTGTAAAACTGTAAGGAGAAGAGTTGTTATATGGGGTTGTAACACTGTAAGAAGAAGAGTTGTTATATGGGGTTGTAACACTGTAAGGGAAATGGTTGTAACACTGCAATGGAAAGGGTTGTTTCAAGGGGTTTTAACACTGTAAGAAGAAGGGTGGTTATATAGGACTGAGCACATAAGGGAAAGGGTCGTTATGCAAAGTTGGGTTGTAACAGCGTAAAGGATTGATATATAATATGATTGATAATGTAGGGTTTTAACACCATAAGAGGAAGGGTTGTTCTGTAGTGTATGGTCGAAGGCATTTAATGGTTATAGTGAATGCTTTACAAAGTTATGAACGGAGCTGATTCATGTTATATAATGGCAAAATGAAGAATTGACACTGATTGCATCTTGTTGCTTTTCCCAAATTTTCAATAACGTTAAATGCGTTTTTGTTTAAAGACGTTCCATTGGCGACTGTTCTTTCGACATTGTTGAATGGGGATGCTGGTGACAATGTGACCCTGGGCTGTACCGTGGCTGGAAGCCCTCCTGCGACCGATGTGTACTGGCAAAAGATTGTCAATGAATCGGACTTTGCGACAATAGCTGTTGATGGTCTCAACTATGTTGGAGTGACCCTGGATGACCCCTCCCTCACCATTGTCACTGCAGTGCAAGTCGACAGCGCCATCTATGTTTGTAAAGCAAACAATAGTTTTGGAACCGGAACAGCTTTACCCGTAACTCTTAATGTCAGATCGATTTCAGGTAAGAAATTATCGATCGTTTTCTAACAACGATTTGTTTTAAATTCCTAGATAACAAGGAATCGAACGATTAAATCAAACTTATTATAAATTACTAATCAGTAGCACTGTATCAATGGAAACGGTCGCGTTATGACTTGTGATCGCGGTGTCGAAATTTTCGCCTGACATTATTCCGAAGCAAAGATATCTTTATACTAATCCATAAAGTAACATTTGTAGCGGTATATTTTTGCGCTAAATTAGTTCTTCTGAAAAACGTCAAAATTTCTGCACCGTTAAAGTTTCCCCTTGTAAAGTACATTATAGTTTAGTGTTAGGATGTTCACATACCATTATTATGATGTTTATGTCACAGCTAGGATGTTAATATATTACAGCTGTAATGTCCATGTGTCCCGCAGCTACGCCAGGTAAAAACAACTGATAGGAGTCGTTTAATAACATTTTGGGGACCCCCTAATGGGTAACATCCTGGTCGTTATTTCATTGGTCAATCTTCGTATTTTGACTCAAAGTAGCAATGCTCTGCGACGCCATCGCATATTGTAAAACCATAGTTCATGGTGAGAACATTACAGTTCTCTATATGTATACTATATGAATGCTGTTGGAGAAATAAGGTTCGCAAACTCGTGATGGTTGGTTATCGTCTTTATCTAACACTCATTTTGAAAATTAGCTAATTCGAGTTTGATTAACATGAAAACAAGCCATCGATCGTTGGGTAACGTGTACACATTATATCATAGTTTTGCTTTTTACGTGTCATAGTTGGTGTTTATTTGTCAAAATTGTGGTGTTACATGACAAAGTTGCGTTTAATTTTCATAGCTGTAGCGTTCATTATACTCCCCGTAACGAAGTTGTGCATCCAGGTATTATTTGTTTCAATCTGACCCTTTGCTTACGAAGTAATGACCCTTTTTGACGTAACAATTGCCCTTTGTTGTAAAACGTTTGCCCGCACAACTTCTCCAAACCCACTGGGCCAATTTCAATAAAGCTTTTTAGATATGATAACTACCACATGGATCCAGTTGTTCAAAGGGCGATAAGTTTTATCAGTGATTAGAGGAAACACAGCAATATTAGGTATTTAATAGAGTAAAATTACGTGTAAAATTACGAGTTTTACCATGTATATTGACGAAATTATTAAAGGTTGAAAAATAACGTTAAACAGTGATTAAGCTGATCATCTTTTAAACAACTGGGCCCTGATGTTGTGCATCCAGATAAAAAAAATCCAACTAGAACCTTTTCTACGGAGTTATAGTCCTTTGTTCAAAAGAATCTTGTCCAGACAACCCCTCCAAGACTATGCGGCTAATTTCAACGGAAGTTTACAGATATGTTAACTGCCCCCTGATGTTGTGCATCCACGTAGTACTTTTTCATTCCAACCCAATTAAAAGGAGATATGGCCCTATGTTGGAAAAATAACTGTGTCTCCCTCCTTATAAACTACTGGGCCGATTTCTGTGAAAGTTTACAGATGTGTTGTAATTACACACACACACACACACACACACACACACACCTAATGTCGTACGTCAAGGAAGTATTTGTTGATTCGACCCTTTTTCAGGGGTTATGACACTTAGTTAAATATCGTTGTCCTAGCATCTCTTCCTTAACTTCCTGGGCTAACAAGATTTGATTTGCAAGTAGGTTTTGGCATTGGGAGGGAGTACAGAATGTATGTCAGTTACCTATATACTAAAATAAGTGTACAGCTCAGTGAATAAAGAAATCACTACTGGTGGGAGACTATGGATTGCTTTCCCATGCTTTGTCTTAGTAAACCTTTAGCTAACAGTTCTGGTTTATTTAGGAGCGGGGTATTAGTTAGCCTTTGGCTTACAGTTCTGGTTTATATGGGAGCGGGGGAAATAGCCTTTGGCTTACAGTTCTGATTAAAATATGAGCTGGGGTATTATTTAGCCTTTAGCTAGCAGTTCTTGTTTATGCAGGAGCGGTGGTATTAGTTAGCCTTTAGCTAACAGTTCTGGTTTATATGGGAGCGGGGGAATTAGCCTTTGGCTTACAGTTCTGGTTTAAATAGGACCTGGAGTATTATTTAGCCTTTAGCTAACAGTTCTGGTTTATGTAGGAGTGTTGGTACTTGTTTACCTTTAGCTAACAGTTCTGGTTAATGTAGGAGTGGTGGTATTAGTTTGCCTTTAGCTAACAGTTCTGGTTAATGTAGGAGCGGGGGTATTAGTTAACCTTTGGCTTACAGTTCTGGTTTATGTAGGAGTTGTGGTATACGTTAACCTTTAGCTAGCAGTTCTGGTTTATGAAGGAGTGGTGGTATTAGTTAGCATTTAGCTTACATTTCTGGTTTATATAGGAGTGGTGGTATTAGTTAACCTTTAGCTAACAGTTCTGGTTTATGTAGGAGTGGTGGTATTAGTTAGCCTTTGGCTTACAGTTCTAGTTTATATGGGAGCGGGGTTTTTAGCCTTTGGCTTACAGTTCTGGTTTAAATAGGAGCTGGGGTATTATTTAGCCTGTAGCTAACAGTTCTGGTTTATGTAGGAACGGTGTTATTAGTAAGCCTTAAGCTTACAGTTCTGGTTTATGTAGGAGTGGTGGTATTAGTTAGCCTTTAGCTTACTTTTCTGGTTTATATAGGAGTGGTGGTATTAGTTAACCTTTAGCTTACATTTCTGGTTTATATAGGAGTGGTGGTATTCTGGTTTATATAGGAGTGGTTGTATAAGTTAACCTTTAACTAACAGTTTCGGTTAATGTAGGAGTGGTGGTAATAGTTAACCTTTAGGTAACAGTTCCGGTTAATGTAGGAGTGGTGGTAATAGTTAACCTTTGGCTAACAGTTTCTAGTTTGATACAGTTATAGATTAGCTTGTTTTATTGTGTCTAACTTCCTATCAACAGTCTAGGCCATTTAAGGACTACAACACATGTTATATTTAACATTTACTCCTGTTTAAAAACCTGTCACAGCTGTGATGTTTACAAGTTACAGTTTACTGATTTAAGTAAAATGTTAAAATCAACGTCTTCTGAATAGACGCGTTTCGTTAACATTTAGTGCACCAACATTACCGTGCGCACATCTTCATTTGCAGAGTACACACAACGTCTGTACATAGTGCGCACAACTGGTCGATTTATCATTCACTGTACTACAGAACACAAACATCCGTGTGATGTAGTAAGATCTGTGCCCGTATTGATGCAATCACTCTCATGCTCATGCATGAATTCTGTGCTCAAACTTTCTTGTAACTCGCTTAAATCATGTCAAACGATCGAAGAGTCAAATGTTAACATTTAAAACAGTATTTCGTTTTATGTCTCCTTATTTTTTTCCCGTATCATTTACGATATAAGAATTTGTTATTAATTTAAAAACGAAGCAAGAAATTAGGCTTGAGAACAAAATTCATGCTTGAGCGTGAAAACTGTTTCATGATTACGGGTCCAGCTGATGTTTCGGGATGACAATATCCGGAGGGATGGAGTGAAATATGGTGCATCGTACACGTATATCCGATCAGTATATTTTGCTCTTTATCAAATACTTTCTCACATCAAAAACATCAAAACAAAACTGTGAACGGTCAATAATGGGGTTGTTCTGTCAGGTACGGTACTAGTACGCGTACGAAGTGATTTGAATATAGTTTGTAATTAACAGGTTACTTACTGGTAACAGGTAGGGATGTTTTATTTACATTTTTCTCTGTACATGTACATAACCGTATACACACACCTGCCGATTAAGGTCGTTTCAAAACAAATTTTACGTGGTATGTCTATGACAGTTAGAAACAAAACTATGTAAATTAATATGAAATATGCCAACATACTTACATCAGGAAAGATATCAATTTAAATACGAAACCGTACTAATTTACAGACCAATCCTAGATATCAACCAAGAAACCTATCGCACAATCGTACGATTACAATCTTACAACGTCAAATAGGGCCCAGTTGTTCAAAGGGTGATTAGCTTAATCAGTGATTAGCGCAAATTTCAACTTTTGTGTATCTTTGAAATGCAATAATCAACCTAGTTCTAACTTTCCAGATAAATAGTATTCAGTAGAGTAAATGTACATGTAAAATTACGATGTCGTTAAACAGTGATTCAGTTAATCACCATTTGAACAACTGGGCCATGCTAGGAAGACCTTTCATGTTAAGCACATAAACCTTGAAGATTGACAGAATAAAAAAGATATAAACAAGGCTAGCCCATTGACTTTCCTGCCGACTTCAACACGTTTTATCAGCATACTCACGGCAGTACCAGTGCCAGTTGTACTCCACGACAACTGAATACGGAGCTAAGGCAAAACTCCCAGTCAATCATTATATGTGCTCCTTCTGTAGTTTTACCTGGGATTCCGACACATTCTTTACAATTTTACAGTGTCATATCAACACTACGTTATTTGCAAAGTGACATCAAACACCAAGACATACTGGTAGCAACATTCAGGTGGTCGGCATTCAAAGATGATATGGTGGTAATGAAGACATATAAATACTTGGTTTGTTTGGTTTTATTTTGTTTAACGTCCTTTTAACAGCTTAGATCATTTACGGACATGCCTCCGTATAGTTTGTGGATGCGTGCATGCATGCAGGAGACAGGGTATGTTGGTGTACTTGTCTCCTTGTGATAGCACTGATCAAATGCCGACTTTATAGTGCTATCTCACTGAAATGCCATATGAATGCATCAGTTTTCATTTTATAAAGTTTTACCTGTAGCTTCGGTCATACTCTGAAGGTTGACGGAAGATAATTAAGCGTGTTAACATTTGTTTTTAGTGGAATACAACGGGAGCCTGTCTTTGAACGAGAGCTTCGATGCTCAGTTATTTAATAAGAGCAGTCAACAGTACAAGGATAAAGAGGCGGCCTTTATTGACATGGTAAGTAAAACAGGACATTGAAAGAAGATCACGACATAGTAAGTATTGGCTAAAAAGAAAAAAATCTTCAACAACATTTTGCATAATTAAGTCATATTGAGTTTGATATTGCTAGGTTTTCTTTCAACTGCGAAATATTGTATGTTCAATTATTTCAATTACCGAGAACTATGAAATGTGTGACGTGTAGGTTTTGTTTTCCGTTGGATTTCACTTATGTAAGAACTATTCGAAAATATTGTATTGATCTAGGTATATACTGATACGTCACAACCAAACAAATTATCTCATATCTTATGACGTTTTATGAAAAAAAGATATATTTGTAAGCTTACGATTAGCATACATGGTGTATTAAATGTAACAAGTATTAAAAAGCAAACATTATTGCATTTAGATATTAGCAAAAATATATACTGAAGTAGCAAATGAGTTATTGCTCACATAGTATGCTGGTCTTAACACCTATCCCTTAGACCGGCTGGGTTTCTGTTATGTATTTTGTGACGTAGGATCATGGTTTTATCTATGTGTTACATGTGTGATATCTAAATAGTCATGTCTCTCTCTTGATAAACAGATGAAACACATTGGTAGATTCCCTTGTCCGCATTGGCCCTAATTCCTTTTTGCTCTCAATTTAAGTCATACGCATGTTCGAATTAAATACAAGTCTTTGAGCATACTTTCGTCATTACTATTGAAGCCATACGTATATAGAATTTAAATATTATAAAAACCGTTATGATAGTAATTAAGAACCACAATACAGGTCATTGTCTTCTTATAGAATCTCAATGGACTAATGTTTTCATATTTTACACCTTTCAGATGGATGGGCAAATTCTCAATTCATTCAATAAAACAAACACTACGGTTCTCGGTTTCAGGTAAGTACTATTATGACTTTTGTTGCGTTCCTTTTAGCCATTTTATTATATATTATTATGATGTGATAACCTTCTCTAATTGCTCACTTCACCTTTACACTGTCTTGGTCTAGAACACTGTCAGCACCTTAATAACACGGAGGTTTCCTTCTTGACTATAACGTGACGTTTCATAAGTAAACAAATCATGTCGTATTTCCTGGAGAGGCACAGTCCTGGTCCATTAAATTTCTACCTTAAAACTTAGGCTTCACAATGTCTTTAAATCATGTTTCATTGTCATCTCGCCTATTATTTAAGTGTCTCCTCGATTCCTGTTAAAGCGTCTCTTTGATTCCCATTTTAGTTTCACGATGATTCCTGGTAAAGTGTCTCTTTGATTCCCATTTTAGTTTCACCATGATTCCTGTTAAAGTGTCTCTTTGATTCCCATTTTAGTTTCACCATGATTTCTATTTTAGTTTCACCATGATACTCATTCTAGTCTACTCGGTCCGTTCTGAGTGTACGTTCAGTTCCTGTTTAAATGTCTCCTTGTTTTCTGTTTTTAGTGTCGATTTCTGTTTTAGGGTCCTGTTCTATATAAACCGATTGTCTCTTTTTGTCATTTTCTAGATAACATGTTGAATGTTCAGGATCTTTTAAGTAGAAACACTAATGCGTATCCTAAACATACCACATTGACTTGCTGTAAATGATTTTATCATTTGGATTCCAGATAACGATCTATCAAATAACAATAAAAAATAACAATATTTTATAGAAAAGTAGACACGTGCCAATGACTGAATCTATTTTTCGTTCCTAAGATACTGTAGCATAACATTATATTTATATTATGTATAATTTTGTGCTTTTCAAGCACATTTAATATCATTTTTTAAGATAACACCTTTATAAGCGTTAATTTGTCGAAATGTCTTAAACGCCACGCAAAACCATCTCAAAAATGCAAACATTTAAATAAACGTAAATAACAAGCGTTACATTTTACTTTTTTTATATAAACATAGCATTCTGACATTTTGTATATGTGTGTTTAAGTAAACTCACAGTTTAATGATAAAGAACTATTAACAAATTGAACGCTTTGATAAATTGTCTTATCCACACTATATTCAATCGGAAACTTTATGAAGAAACTCCTTTTAATGTAGTGAGAATTAAGCGTTATATCTAAGTCGTGATAAGCGCTATAATCAGGATACAGAAATAGGTTTGTAATACATTGATTATATTTAATGTTTCAGTAATGGAAGCACCATTGTTGATTATATCATCGAGTTCTTCAAAAATGAACTGGAAATGGCCGGAACACAAGTTCTTGTGATTAGTGACGTTGTCAATGAGGCGATTATTGAGTATGTGGAGAACTCTCCGAACAGTACCAACACTTCGCAAGACTATTTACAGATCTTGCCCAATACAATTCAAGGGGTCATACAAAGTAAGGTTATTAACATATTTTAAATTGTACAATGTTTAATGCGAATCAAGTTTGCGCTTAAGCCTTTTGTATTTACCAATAACGACATTTGGCTTGTATTACAAATAGCAAATATTAGGTCAGAAACAATAAATAAATAGCTAATGATATACGGATTCAGTTGTTTTACAATTTGTGTGGTAAAGAAAAATCCAGAAAAAAACTCGAAAAACCGATTTTAATCGATTTGAATGTGTCATCTTGAATAGAAATGATCATTGAGAGATATAAACTATTATTTCAATAGATATTAATTTGTTGCATAAACGGCAAAAAACACAAAATAAAATAACCATTAACATTTCGGCTTTTTCGTCCGACTATCTGTTTTTCAATTCTTTAATCAATTTCAAGGTTTTTCTCAGTTAAGGGATATATATATATGTAGTGTCCTTTTTACAGAAACAGATGACTGTGCTAAAGTCCCCTGCCTAAATGGCGGTACCTGTTACGACTACTTCGCAGACTACACGTGTTTATGTATGTCCGGATACAGCGGGAAAGATTGCTCAGAAGGTCAGAGGTCATGTTTTGGATATATTCTTTTTAAATGATACTATTATAGTGATAACAGGTACGACGGGAAGTGAGCATGCGCAGTACTCGAGATTTCAATGACTCTATTGATTATGAGTATGGTGTCTCATAGCATGTATTAGTTTAAGTAATGTGGTGAATACTAGTCTTCAAAGTCACTACGCATGCGCTGATCTCAAGTAGCAATATATCTTATAAAAACTATCAATATCACGTCATTTGTCACGCGCTGTCTTCAAAGACTTTGATGTTTCGATAAAAACAAAACGTGGTAAATCAGTTTCATAGTAATAACACACGCGCTAATAATAATGTGTCGTATACCTTTCAAAAACTCCAAACACGCATGGACCTAAATGACTGGTATTTCCTACATCTATCAAATTGTTAAGCATGCCTTTTCGAGTACTTTTTCCTTAAATAGCTATTTATTTCTATGTGTGTGTGTTTGCTGGATTGGTTGTCAGAATGTTTTGGTGTCTATCCTTATTGTTTGTTTGTTTACATATGGCTGTGTTTGTGTATACGGGTTTTTTTTATTTTTAGGATTTGTTGTTTATGCACACGTGTGTGTAAAGTAAATTTTGTGTTTGTGTGAGCGTTCATATGTGTAGACATTGTGGTTAAGTTTAAAAAAAATTGACGAATCTCTCTGATAGGTAATGATTTTGTATACATGAAACATGACTAATTAAAATTCCTAAAATGTTATTATAAATAAATAATTGTGTTTTGTGTTATTATAGACAACTTATTGTGTTTTGTGTTATTATTATAGACATGGACGTGTGTGGTTCTAGATCCTGTTACAATAACGGGACATGCCTTGAAGGAGTTGCCGATGCTTACTCCTGCGTTTGTGATGACAGGTCCACCGGAGATCACTGCGGTCAGTTACAGATTCATTCCAATTATCATATTACAGTTAAACCTCGTTATACTGCAACCATTTCTTAAAGTGAACTTCTCGCAGTGATAAATGTGCAAAGAAATTCTAAAAAAGTACGATAAAGTCAAAAGAAGGATCTTGAAATACTGCCGGTAACCAAGATGGAAAATAGAGCTAGGGGCATTATAACAAGGGTTTACAGGAAAATAGAACTAGGGGCATTATAACGAGGGTTTACCAAAAAATAGACCAAGGGGCATTATAACGAGGTTTACCGGAAAATAGACCCTGGGGCATTATAACAAGGGTTTACCAGAAAATAAAACTAGGGGCATTATAACGAGGGTTTACCGAAAAATAGACCAAGGGGCATTATAACGAGGTTTACCGGAAAATAGAACTAGTGGCATTATAACAAGGGTTTACCGGAAAATAGACCTAGGGGCATTACAACGAGGGTTTACCGGAAAATAGAACTAGGGGCATTATAACGAGGGTTTACCAGAAAATATAATTAGGGGCATTATAACGAGGGTTTACCGGAAAATAGACCTAGGGGCATTATAACGAGGGTCTACCGGAAAATAGAACTAGGGGCATTATAACAAGGGTATTGAACATTACATTTAAATCACATCAATTCACGTATCTCGTATATATCAAAAGATGCAAAAACAAAAGATCAGGAGAAAAGACAAAAGAAAATATGTGTGACACAAGAACTGTTATGAAGGATTTTAAATTAGCTACCATTCCGTAGGTTATTTAGGAAATATCTTTGAGAGATTTGAAACAAAATCAGATAGGTGAGAACGATTTTCAGATTCTTCATCATTTGATTAATCTAACAATATATAATGCAGTTTATCACATAACTGACCTAGTTTACTATGTCATACGGCCATGTTACAAAAATATGGTATTACACACGTTTAATTAAACATAAAGGTCCTGCGATTGGTCAAAACCGTGGGAACATAATCCTACGCTACAGCAAGAACTACTTTTATTTACAATACCACATGATACATTTACTGATATGTTTAATATATTTTGAGTGGTCATTTTCTTTATTATTTTCTTAGCATTTCAAATTGTTCCTTATTACAAAAACATCTGGAACTACTTTACACTGCGCTGAACGGCAATACTATGATCGGAATTAATACTTTGAGTTTTACGTAGTGAGAGTCGGCTGACAACATGTAATTGTTAACCATTGTTTTTTTCAAATTATGAATGTTTTGTGATACATGTAAATATAATCTTACATTCGTGTCTATGTCATATTGCATTTATCAAACATGCTCATTAAATTGATTTGACAGGCTCATGTTTTATCAAATTATTAAATTCATTATGACATGGACACGAATGTAAGATTCTCTATTTTTTACAAAGTCAGATATAGAAAGCAAACAAAAATTAAAGCCCTTTGTTAGAACCATTTATACACTTCCACTTTCATTCGTTAATTAATCTGGGCGGATTGGTCGAGTGGTCAATACTCCGACCTTCCACGTAGGCGGCCGGGGGTCGATCCCCGAAGTCGTCATTCGCATGGAATATTCAGAGAACGTGTTTTTCTCCTGCCCACACAACTCCAACAACCCAGGTGGAGTATACAATGGTCTGGGGTGGATGTTGCGGGTATCTGTGCTCTAGCATTCAAGTGAGGTGACACTATAAAAGATGCCGTTGGAAGCACGGTCCCAATTCAAACAGAACACAATACATCTCCAGCACACACGCACGCATACACACATAGGGCGATATTAGCCAGGTGGCATAGGACTAGTAGTTAGCGCCTGATAAGGCAACTCCTGAGAATTCCTCAAAAATTGCATTGATTTATGTTTATGCTAATTGTATTAATTGTATATATATGTACTGTAAAGCGCTTTAGAGTGGCTTATGATAGCTAGATAGGGCGCTATATCAAATGCTAACAAATTATGTATATCATCTCATTGTTTATATCAACATAATAGTGAGTATAACTACAGCCGTTAATATAGAACATGGTGATTGATTTCTTGCATATGGGTAATAGCCTGATAATATAGTGAGATGAAGCATATCGAGTTAATTTCCTTTTGATGAAACGATAGCGAGACTTAATTCATAATTGTGACGTCACTTTGATTGATATGAGTCACGGAGGCACGGTAGTCTATTGGTAGGAAGCCGGGCTCGTGACCGAAGGGTTCAGGGTTTGAGTCACGGCACTGCACTGTGGTGTATCTTTGAACAAGAATCTTTACTCCACTTGTTTCAGTCTACTCAGCTGTAAATGAGTACGTGGTTGGCAGTGCTAGAATTGTTGAATGGTAGCTGTGAACGCCGAAATGGCAGCTCCCGCTGTATGCTCCCCAGGGAGTGGAGAAAGACATTGCCTGGTTGCAGGGGCCCTATAACCACGGATAATAATTTGTGAATCGCTTTGAGACGACCTACGAGATAGGCTGTGATAAAGCTGTATATAAGAACCTCGAATTATTGTTATTATTATAATCATTATTATATGACATGATTGCTTTTTGTAGAAACACATGTGTGTGAGGACGAGTTTTGTTTTAACGGCGGAACATGCATCCCCCGAAATGATACCGCTGCTGCCTACTGTATGTGTGATGACAAGCATGCCGGAAGTTTCTGCGAAATGCGTAAGTATCACAGAAAGGTTTTAGTAGCAACGGAAATTACTACAGTTACATTCTCGAAATACCAGGAGTTATGCTCACTGACGTTTCCTATACCTCTGAAATATATCATGCTTGACATGCGAGAACAATTATAACAGGGTATTAAACATCAGCAGGTCAGATATTGATTTAACATGAGAAACTTTTATTGTAAAATAGTATAAAGAAGGTATGTCCTTAAGTATCTAAATATTAAAAACATGTTATTGACAAAAATATCAGTTGAACCTAAGGTATATATCATGGATAAACTTGAAATTAGGGGGAAATGAGAAAGATAATCTTTAAAACTTGGAAAGCAAGAAACTTTACTTAAAAGCCAGCTTTGAAAGTTAACCATTCAATACTATCGGTGGTAGATCTTGAACTAAAAATATGTGGCACACTAGAATAATAAAAATATACTAAAACACTTTGATTTGGAGATTCTTTATTTTATGTGAGGTTACACAATAAACAAGGGAGGATTATACATCTCATTCAAATCGATTTTACTGCATTTAGATACAATTGGATCAGGCGCAAGCACCGCCTATTAAAGCCTTTTCCAGAAGAAAGAACATAAATGTCAGACATTCATACCCACACACACACGTGTATATATATAGTACATATAGAACATGAATATAGAATAAAGGTTAAATTGTATATATAATCTGATAAATAAAAGAACACTAGAATATTGATACATATTTACAGATATAAACAAATTAGCACGTCGGGAATTTTAACAGATATAGTCTGATGTTTGGTTAGAGTTAAATCAAAAGTCACGATCACTACACACAGTGCTAAATCAAAAGTCACGATCACTACACACAGTGCTAAATCAAAAGACACGGTCATTACACACAGTGATAAATCAAAAGACACGGTCATTACACACAGTGATAAATCAAAAGTCACGGTCATTACACACAGTGATAAATCAAATGTCACGGAGACTACACACAGTGATAAACCAAACGTCACGGTCATTACACACAGTGATAAATCAAATGTCACGGACACTACACAAAGTGACAAACCAAACGTCACGGTCACTACACACAGTGATAAACCAAAAGTCACGGTCATTACACACAGTGATAAACCAAACGTCACGGTCATTACACACAGTGATTAATCAAAAGTCACGGTCACTACACACAGTGATAAACCAAAAGTCACGGTCGTTACGCACAGTGATAAATCAAATGTCACGGACACTACACAAAGTGACAAACCAAACGTCACGGTCACTACACACAGTGATAAATCAAAAGTCACGGTCACTACACATAGTGATAAATCAAAAGTCACGGTCACTACACAAAGTGATAAATCAAAAGTCACGGTCACTACACACAGTGCTAAATCAAAAGTCACGATCACTACACACAGTGCTAAATCAAAAGACACGGTCATTACACACAGTGATAAGTCAAAAGACACGGTCATTACACACAGTGATAAGTCAAAAGACACGGTCATTACACACAGTGATAAATCAAAAGTCACGGTCATTACACACAGTGATTAATCAAAAGTCACGGTCACTACACACAGTGATAAACCAAAAGTCACGGTCATTACACACAGTGATAAATCAAATGTCACGGACACTACACACAGTGATAAACCAAACGTCACGGTCACTACACACAGTGATAAATCAAAAGTCACGGTCATTACACACAGTGATTAATCAAAAGTCACGGTCACTACACACAGTGCCATGCTGACCAACTTCACCAGATTAGTATGAATGGTATAGAAATAGGTCATTTAAAATACTGTACAGGTTAGAATTGTCCAGATGTTTCGATATATTCCAGATTGTGTCAGCATCAACAACACAGAAATAGTTATTAGTCTCGTGTTTGGCAACTTAAGATTCTTTCCCCGATGGTTTGGACTACAGTAGGAACAATTTCCTGTCTAAACTACTAGTCTTTCAGATTAAAAGAAAACTAGTAGCAAGTATGAAACTACATCAACAGCAGTCGACGAACGTCATAGTCCGTTGTTTGGTAATGCTATTGTGTTAAAGCCGATTTACAATGGGGTTTTTTCTTTAATAATTTAGATAAACAGAAAAAATCGACAATCCAATATTAAATGATAAACGATAAGGAACAATCAATTCATTATTGTTTGGGGAAACGTGTTGTTTGAGGAGGGGATTTAATTTATGTTTTTTTTACCTTGCAGCATTTTGTGGAATCGACTTTTGTCACAATGGAGGAACATGTCCGGATGACGTCGCATCATACTGTATGTGTGGCGACCAGTACACTGGATCTCATTGTACTCTAGGTAAGTAAAACAAATTAAAGATAGTTGACCGTTCTGTACTCTAGGTAAGTAAAACTTATTTCAGATAATTGACCTTACTGTACTCTAGGTAAGTAAAACATATTTAAGATACTAGACCTTACTGTACTCTAGGTACGTAAAACATATTTAAGATACTAGATCTTACTGTACTCTAGGTAAGTAAAACATATTAAAGATAATTGACTTCACTGTAATCTAGGTAAGTAATACATATTTAAGATACTAGACCTTACTGTTCTCTAGGTAAGTAAAACATATTAAAGATAATTGACCTTACTGTACTCTAGGTAAGTAAAACATATTAAAGATAATTGACCTTACTGTACTCTAGGTAAGTAAAACATATTTCAGATATACTAGATCTTACTGTATTCTAGGTAAGTAAAACATATTAAAGATAATTGACCTTACTGTAATCTAGGTAAGTAAAACATATTTAAGATACTAGACCTTAACTTACTCTAGGTAAGTAAAACATATTTCAGATAATTGACCTTACTGTACTCTAGGTAAGTAAAACATATTTCAGATGATTGACCTTACTGTACTCTAGGTAAGTAAAACATATTTAAGTTACCCGACCTTACTGTACTCTAGGTAAGTAAAACACATTTAAGATAATTGACCTTACTGTACTCTAGGTAAGTAAAACATATTAAAGATAATTGACCTTACTGTACTCTAGGTAAGTAATACATATTTCAGATATACTAGATCTTGCTGTATTCTAGGTAAGTAAAACATATTAAAGATAATTGACCTTACTGTATTCTAGGTAAGTAAAACATTTTTAAGATACTAGACCTTACTGTTCTCTAGGTGAGTAAAACATATTTAAGATACTAGACCTTACTGTTCTCTAGGTGAGTAAAACATATTTAAGATACTAGATCTTACTGTACTCTAGGTAAGAAATCATATTTAAGATAATTGACCTTACTGTTCTCTAGGTAAGTAAAACATATTTAAGATACTAGATTTTACTGTACTCTTGGTAAGAAAAACCTATTTCAGATAATTGACCTTACTGTACTCTAGGTACGTAAAACATATTTAAGAAAATTAACCTTACTGTACTCTAGATAAGTAATACATATTTAAGATACTAGACCTTACTTTACTCTAGGTACGTAAAACATATTTAAGACACCTGACCTTACTATACTCTAGGTATGTAAAACATATTTAAGATAATTGACCTTACTGTACTCTAGGTAAGTAAAACATACTTAGGATACTAGACCTTACTGTACTCTAGGTAAGTTAAACATATTTAAGATACTATACCTTATTGTATTCTAGATACGTAAAACAAAATTAAGATACTAGACCTTACTGTACTCTAGGTAAGTAAAACATATTTAAGATAATTGACCTGACTGTACTCTAGGTAAGTAAATCATATTTAAGATAGTTGACCTTACTGTACTCTAGGAAGGTAAAACATATTGAAGATACTATACCTTACTGTATTCTAGGTAAGTAAAACATATTTAAGATACTAGACCTTACTGTACTCTAGGTAAGTAAAACATTTAAGATACTAAACCTTACTGTACTCTAGGTAAGATAGACATATTCTTTATTTCCTCCATATAGAGATTACATGTCTTACACGAGTGAACTGTTACAATAATTAACTCGTACAATTATAGAAAACAAGGTATATAAATGTCATATCGTTATGTTATTAACACTGCAGATTATTTACATACTACATTGGTCAGTATAACTGACCTCTCAGACGTTTCGATTCACTTCTCAAGAAAACTGTTGACTTCTGAAAGCATTTACTCTACACTGCGTGCCACTCCGATGATGCAGTTCTCACATTCATCATCATCTGTTTCCATCACCATTCTACTACCTAAGAGAAACAGGTACTGATCGTCTTCTTCCAACAAATCAAATTTAACATAATCAATAACCTTTAGCGTATGTACAACATGCTCTAAAAGCTTATCCCTACTGCTGAATAAAGATGGACATTGTACATGTATAAGGAAGTCTTTGCTATGTTGTCTGTTGCTTTACGGTACAATTTACAAATTACACAATCAGCCCATGTCCTATATGAGAGCTTTACTAATTCCGCAAGTGCCCATGTCAGTTTTGGATATTTCAAGCTTAATTCCCACAGAGGGTTGGGCCCATATACGGATGTATGCACTTATAATGACTTAGTAGCACATTGTGTTCCCATTCACAACACCATTCATTGAAATAAAACTGTTCAGTAACGTTTTTGACAAAGAGCTTCCATTGTCTTGAACTGCATGTTAAAGATGAAAGTTAACATTGTGCCTGATATATCCTTAATAAAACTGGCACTACAGAAAAGGTACTTTCCAAATACAAAGTTGCATACTCGGATAAGAAATAGGTTTTTCCAAACGAAGTCAGTACTGGCATTGCATAACTTATTCCAAAAGAAAAAAATGCTTTTCTCGACTTCACACCAAACATCCGGTAGTCCAAGAGCCCCTGTTGTTATTGCTGGTGATGATGTTTTTTCAAAACCCTGACATCTCCTTGCTGCGTCATACCTTGATCTTACACTTCTCCCCTCCACACTCACAGTTGTTCTGCTCTCCTCTCGCTCCTTTTAATTGTCATTTCAAACTGTTCACAAAAAGTGTTAAGCCTGTCTGACTAACATCATAAGCAATATACTTACGAAGTAAATGCATATCATCTAGTCAGATTAATGAACTTAGTGACAGCAAACGTTAACACGCAAACAATGTTAATGTTTACTGCTAATCTACATGTATAACGGTATGTAAAATGAAGTAACTCGAGGTCATTCCTGGAGGTCATTCCTAACGGTATGTATAATGAAGTAACTGGAGGTCATTCCTAACGCTAGGTATAATGAAGTAACTGGAGGCCATTCCTGACGGTATGTATAATGAAGTTATTGGAGGTCATTCCTAACGCTATGTATAATGAAGTAACTCGAGGTCATTCCTAACGGAATGTATAATGAAGTTATTGGAGGTAATTCCTAACGGTATGGATAATGAAGTAACTGGAGGTCATGCCTAACGGTATGTATAATGAAGAAACTGGAGGTCATTCCTAACGCTATGTATAATGAAGTAACCGGGGGTCATTCCTAACGGTAGGTATAATGAAGTAACCGGGGGTCATTCCTAACGGTAGGTATAATGAAGTAACCGGGGGTCATTCCTAACGGTAGGTATAATGAAGTAACTGGAGGACATACCTAACGGTATGTATAATGAAGAAACTGGAGGTCATTCCTAACGCTAGGTATAATGAAGTAACCGGGGGTCATTCCTAACGGTAGGTATAATGAAGTAACTGGAGGTTATTCCTAACGGTATGTATAAAGAAGTTATTGGAGGTCATTCCTAACAGTATGTATAATGAAGTAACTCGAGGTCATTCCTGGAGGTCATTCCTAACAGTATGTATAATGAAGTAACTCGAGGTCATTCCTGGAGGTCATTCCTAACGCTATGTATAATGAAGTAACCGGGGGTCATTCCTAACGGTAGGTATAATGAAGTAACCGGGGGTCATTCCTAACGGTATGAATAATGAAGTAAGTGGAGGTCATTCCTAACAGTATGTATAATGAAGTAACTCGAGGTCATTCCTGGAGGTCATTCCTAACAGTATGTATAATGAAGTAACTGGAGGTCATTCCTAACGGTATGTATAATGAAGTAACCGGGGGTCATTCCTAACGGTATGTATAATGAAGTAACTGGAGGTCATTCCTAACGGTATGTATAATGAAGTAACTGGAGGTCATTCCTAACGGTATGTATAATGAAGTAATTCGAGGTCATTCATAACGGTATGTATAATGAAGTAACTGGAGGTCATTCCTAACTCTTCAGTCTTTCATCTGATACAGTGGATACTGAAAACGTACCAAGTAGTATTTATAAACGTATTTCATGTTGTGTACATATCTGAATACAGATTATGTTCGCATGCTTTTTTAAGTTCATTCGCTCATGGAATGATCTATGACTGTAAGCTTTAATACGCATGCGCAGTTATAACCTCGTTTACAGAATTTCCGCTCGATTTCATGTTCTTTGATTAGATGAAGAGTGCTTATCTGAACATACTGATTCTGTGCAGTTCTTTCTACTTTAATAATACACATGGTGAAGTGAAACTGATGAAGTTTTTCCATTGTCTACATCCAGATAAAATGGTATACCTACAAGGACCGGATGGCAACTTCAGCTCGCCGAATTACCCTATGAAGTACCCTATTCTAGTGGATAGAACATGGGTAATAACAATGGGAACGGATGACATTGTTTTATTGACATTCTCAGAATTCAAACTCGAGGAAGGGCTTGATTACGTAAGAGTTTTCGATGGAGGAAGTGTCTTCTCAACTGAAATAGCTAGGTAAGATGACATCGATTCCATCAATTATTTGCTAATGTTAATTGCTATAAATGATTTTTATGTCGATTTAAATGTTGGGCTTTAGTAAATATCAATTTTTATTTTGAACTCTAGAGCGCTGCACAAATTAATATAAAATACATATATAATTCAACTTAAAAATACACAATTGATAAATAAAATAAATCATTAAATACGCCGCACTATATTCATATTTTAAATATGAATTTAATAGACCCATGTTTTATAATTAACATAATAAAGTATCAACCGGTTTCACGTTATTATTCAATAAGAAGACATGTCGGCAACATTGGATATAGCGATAATTCATATTTGTGACTGAGTGTATGTTTGTATGAACATGGCTCCTCGTCTGGATATACATTGATTTGCAAACACATAGTGTTGGTGTGTATAGACCACCGCGTCAAACTGAAATCTGGAGTGTGGGTGATGATGATCCAAGAACTGTATATATCCATGCATACATTTAGTGGGATTCAGTGGAAAACAAATAAGCACTAATTTCAGCAATGGTTGGTTTTATATAAATGTTCCTACTTACCTTTATCTGTATACTGTATGTTCCCAATCAATGCTAATTCTCATTTAATTATCAGTTTTTGTTTGAAATGTATGTTCTTCCAGGCTGAGCCTGCTGACCTAGTCCCATAAAATCTGTCTGATTTAATGAAAAATTTTGAAATGAAATTCATTGCATCGTAACGTATTATTGAAGGTTGTCCTCAATGCCACGTCAAAATACCATGGCATGACGTCAGGATTGCGATGTTGAAAAGTTTATGATAGTATGAAATTTGATTTCTTTGGAAATGTGCGTATTCATTTCATTTCATTTGAAAAAATAAATAATCGAAATAATTTCTGATTCAGTAAAAGTTATAAACTTATCCCTTCGTTGCCACAGTTGTTCCGTTACATTTACGTGTGAAATGAGCAACCTGCATGACAGGAGTGTGATTGGTTTACGTTATGGCTGAGGTATTGTCTTCTTTTCTACCTTAAACCAGATCAATACTTGAAAAATATATAACAATACTGAAGTGTCAACAAACCTTTAACTCATTCACCCCTGAAATTTTATAATGAACTATTCCAACCTTTGATTTGGAAGAGTTCAAATGTGAATGAGTTAATTCGAACTAAACCTTGATTAAACCAGGACAAAACATGAGCAAATGTATCATTTACATAAAACACTCAGAAAAGTATAAGGAAAGGGAAATCAAAACCAGGTTTTCTGGAAATTTAAGCGTGTTCTGCTCTATCGACGGCACGCGCACCAGGAATCAAAAACCAATCAATGTCAGTTACTCGATAGGTAGCCAGGTATTGAATACGAAATATTTTATATTTGCTCTGCATTGCTACTTTATAACCATACCAAACAAAATAGACAGATATCAGATCATAACTCTCACATAATTAGGGCCCCGTATTTGAGATACGGGTGCCCTATAGTAGTCACTCTGTCTGTCTGTCCTTCGGTCAACAAATTGTGTTCCTGGCTGATAACTTTGGTATTTATTGACCGATTTACATGAAACTTTTTTTTTTTTTTTTTTATTGATTTTTTTCATTTCATAGACATATACATATTAAACATACATCAACATATTATACAAGTAATTTCAAAAACACATCAAATACATACATATATCCACATCTGTGCTCCTGTCTCCACACCGTCTCACCTTCAATTCATATAAGCCTTAGTACATAATTAGGCCCACATTCCTATACTCAAAAGTATGCTTAAGAACATATACATACAACATATAGACACAAGATACCCACATATATACACATACATACGCGCACACACACATACATACATACTCCACACACACTGCATATACATACATGCATCATTCATACATACATGTACATACATCTGCACACACGTCCACACCTATACACATACTGTACAATGCATCACATGTATGCATAATAATGCAGCATACATATATATCGAGCGGTGAAGAAACATTCTTTCGTACCTACACATAAAAAAGTAAAGAGGGAAATCTAGGCAAAGGCAAAAGCAGCTGGCCAGAAAGAAAAAAGAGAAAAAAAAAACATATATCTATTCTAAGAACAGAGACCATTTGCCCCATATCCTTTGAAACTCATCACATTTATTTTTCTGTTGGTATATAAGATTTTGTATTCTAATTCCCATTTGTATGTGAGTTTTCAAAGTATTCAATTGTAAATCTTTCTTTAAGCATCTAGAATTGTAAATATATTGTTTTATTATAAGTAGCAAATAATTATCTGCTATATGAGCCTTTTGATTATCTCTATATTTGCCAAACAGAAACATATTTTTTTCGAAAACTAAATCAATATTTTGTGTATTTAAATATATTTGAAAATTTTGGAGTAATTCCTGGGTCTTATCACATTCCCACAGAAGATGTATTATAGTTTCTCTTTCTGTTTTACAAAAAGTACAATCTCCATTTTCAGTTAAACCAACTTTTTGTGTATATGAATTAGTAGTCAAAATTCTATGGTTTATCCTATATTGTAACCATAAAAGCTTTGAGTTTTCAGTGGTCTCAAAAAGACATTTGTAAACTAATCTCCAATCTTCCACAACTATTCCTAATGAGAGATGCCATTTTACCTGTGCAGCTGGTTGAGTATTGTTTTTAATGAGTACTCGATATACATCCTGTGCTCCTCTTGTACTTTTTAAAACTAATTTTAAATTTATAGGTACAAAAGGTAAAAAGAATCTCTCATGTATATTTAGTCCCTGTCGATCAACATATTTGCGAATGTATGAATACATAACGCATGTGAAGGGACGCTCTTATTTGACCTTAGTTGGTAATGGGACGATAACCAAAATTTGCAATAGACTTTCTGCAAAGACTGGGTCATCCGTTATAGTACAGCGGATACGAGCCAAAATCAAACGAATTCTGCGCTTGATGATAAATTCGGTGCATATAGTCCTTAATATGAGGTTATATATTGAATATTTAGATTTCGTAGGATTTTATTCTGATTGACAGGGAGGGTGTTTACGATGAAGCATAAGACGTTTTATATTCTGAATCATCGATTTATATATTTTCTTGTATTTTTTTCAGGATCTCCTGTAATTGTTTTCTTTGTTCATTATTTGCCCTATACGGCTTTATAATGTAGGTCAAAACCTAGGTTTATAACATCTTTGTTATTTTCCTGTATTCATATAATCATCCATTGTGTCTAAACATCAATATCTTATTTTCAAGCGCTTACCATGTATTGTGTAACATATTGATTTTCCTTTTCAGTTCGACGGGATACTACATTCCGGGCCCATTCAAATCCACTGGTCCAAACATGACCGTTCAGTTTGTTAGTGACTCCAGCACAGTGGACATGGGATTTAAGGCTCATTACACTTCAGGTATTCAAATTCCATTGTGGTTCAGATGTCCAGTTAGTTTCTATAATTAAGGTCAGCACGGTACTGTTTAAAGTAAAAATACCTTTCAAATATTTTTTAAAAAATGATGTTACTACCTATATCTCTTAATCTTTTTAGAAGAAAAAACAAGATAAAGTAAGAAAACCTTTACAGGTGATCTGAATATCTATATATTTGAATATCTATTAATTAGTTTCCATTACCTAAACAAAGTGTTGACGTTGGTATTTTCTTATATAAGATGACCCACATATTTTCCAATATTCCCATTGATTATATCATAATCACCTGGAGGTCAATGGTTTGTGTTCTGACTTGGTGTTATTATGTTTAATAACAGCAAGTCAGTATTCATTTGATGACGTCAGTTCAACTGTAACGTCACAATGATCCCTGCCAAATGCAGTACTTTCCGTCATACAATTTTTCATAGGTTTTATCGGTATCCTGATTGAAACATCATTTAGCATCCAATATTACAATTTGGGTAAAGGTGTGGTTCTATGGAACTGAGATCTCTTTCTCTTACGTCTATCAAATCACATATTCACCTCTACAAAAATAATTGATAAGCACCATACGGTAACCATACTTGTTGTACTGTAACTAAAGGTGAGTATAGCTTTGTTACAACCATTGTTTGGTACACATGTACTCACGAATAATAATAGGATGTTATGTATGTAAGCATACTTTTACTCGATATATTTTTTATCAATAATATAATAGATGTATTTGTGTTACTGATCAAACTTTTCCATTTGATGTTGGAACTAACTGTATCACAAAGTCGCCTTTGCTGCTAAAATATCATCTTACAAATAGATGACTTATTATCGACGAACATAATTTACTCCTACAGAAAATAACTCTCGTCAGTTCATTTTCAAATTGTATAAGGCACTCGTTAAACCGTCTTTTTAAATAATTTGATAATTAACTAACTCAAGTTAGATTAACATGATCACCTGCATTCACTCGTAGGGGAAACTCTATAAATAATGTAAAACAAATGATAAACTCCCATGATATGTATATTTATGTTTCAAATATAGGGCTATATCAAACAAAAGATCAAATATATAAACTAAAAAGTCAAAATATAATGACAGTATATGTGTGTCTATACTACGTAGTAATTTCAGGATGCAATGTTGTCAAGATCTAAAGACAATACATAAATTAATTCTTTATATTCAAATGTTGTCAAAACACAGGACAAGAAGGGTTTATTTACAGAAATCCCTTCAAATATATATTTTTTTAACAAAGTTGATATACATTAGATAAAACAAAACAACCAATTCAAAAATATATATATTTGTGTTTGTGTTCTACAATAGTTTGCGTCATTGTGGTGTTGTTGTTTTTTGCAGACCCTGTGATCTACCTTAGTGGACCGACAGGAACTTTCACCAGTCCAAATTACCCTAATTTCTATGACAAATTCTCTGACTTTACCTGGTTAATTACCATGTTACCAGACCAAGCTGTCCTGTTGACTTTCTCTCATTTCGCCACAGAAAATCGTTATGATTACCTTTACGTATATGATGGATTGGATATGAGCTCAAACCGAATAGCCACGTGAGTAGACTTGTGAATCGTTACGATTGATGAAATATATTACCCGTATACTCATCGTGATTTGATTTTCTCTTACCCTGGACAGGTGTATCCACTATTGTACCGTTGTTAGATATCCTGTTTTCTTACCCTGGACAGGTGTATCCACACTTTTACCAGTGTGAAATATCCTTTTCTCTCATGTCCAGCCATGTAAGATAACGATGGCCATGTACGCTAGCCATGCTCGCTGAGTCTATCTTACATGGGCGTGACGTCACAATGGCTCAACAATGACGAGAAGTCACAATTTTGGAAAACACCGATCCCACAATGCGGAAAAGGCAACGTGATGAATCTGAAACCTGTTACGATATATTTACCGTCACATTAGAAAAATAAGATTATTTTTTCTGCACAAACTCTATTTGCAAGTATGGGGTATTCTAAATCTCGCTGACGAATTCGTTTTCGTCCAAAAACCTCATATAATTTCTGAGATTATTCTGGAAGTTGGAATGAGAGAAAATTACTCTTTCATGCCCAAGGGTGTATGATAGGGAAATTCCACCCTCGGATGGAATTTACCTGTCCTACATCCATGAAAATGAAAGAGTCGTATAGTCTCACCTAGAGGGTGAGATAGGGGAATATCAACCCTCGGGGTTACATATCTTTAATCATGAGGGTTCAGTGGCAAGATTTTCGATCAAACTGGGTATTTATATGGGAATAACTCCTTTCCTTGCCAACTTGTTACATTTTTTGTGATTTTGTATTTATCAAAGAGCTTATTAAGACTGGTAAAAAACATTGCTTTATTTCATATTAAGATATACAGACGACGTAATGTCCTTCAACAACATACTATCCTGTTATGTCATTAAACAACACGATATCATGTTATGTCCTTAAACAACACGATATCCTGTTATGTCATGAAACAACACAATATCCTGTTGTCATTAAACAACACGATATCCTGTTATGTCCTTGAACAACACGATACCCTGTTATGTCCTTAAACAACACGATATCCTGTTATGTCATGAAACAACACAATATCCTGTTATGTCCTTAAACAACATGATATCCTGTTATGTCATGAAACAACACAATATCCTGTTATGTCCTTAAGCAACATGATACCTTGTTATGTCATTAAACAACACGATCATATTAAGATATACAGACGACGTAATGTCCTTCAACAACATACTATCCTGTTATGTGATTAAACAACACGATATCCTGTTATGTCATTGAACCCTGTTATGTCCTTAAACAACACGATATCCTGTTATGTCATGAAACAACACAATATCCTGTTATGTCCTTAAACAACACGATATCTTGTTATGTCATTAAACAACACGATTTCATGTTATGTCATTAAACAACACGATATCATGTTATGTCCTTAAACAACCCGATATCCTGTTATGTCATTAAACAACACGGTATCCTGTTATGTCATTAAACAACAGGATATCCTGTTATGTCCTTAAACAACACGATATCCTGTTATGTCATGAAACAACACAATATCCTGTTATGTCCTTAAACAACATGATACCTTGTTATGTCATTAAACAACACGATTTCATGTTATGTCATTAAACAACACGATATCCTGTTATGTCCTTAAACAACACGATATCCTGTTATGTCATTAAACAACACGACATCCTGTTATGTCATTAAACAACACGATATCCTGTTATGTCCTTAAACAACACGATACCTTGTTATGTCATTAAACAACACGATTTCATGGTATGTCCTTAAACAACACGATATCATATTTTGTCATTAAACAACACGATTTCCTGTTATGTCCTTAAACAATACGATATCCTGGTATGTCCTTAAACAACACGATACCTTGTTATGTCATTAAACAACACGATTTCATGTCATGTCCTTAAACAACATACTATCCTGTTATGTCCTTAAACAACACGATATCCTGTTATGTCCTTAAACAACACGATATCATGTTATGTCATTTAACAACACGATATCCTGTCTGTCATTAAACAACACGATATCATGTTATGTCATTAAACAACACGATATCCTGTTATGTCATTAAACAACACGATATCATGTTATGTCCTTAAACAACACGATATCATGTTATGTCATTAAACAACACGATATCCTGTTATGTCATTAAACAACACGATATCCTCGTATGTCCTTAAACAACACGATATCCTCGTATGTCCTTAAACAACACGATATCCTGTTATGTCATTAAACTTACACGATATCCTGTTATGTCCTTAAGCAACACGATACCTTGTTATGTCATTAAACAACACGATTTCCTGTCATGTCCTTAAACAACACGATATCCTGTTATGTCCTTAAACAACACGATATCCTGTTATGTTTTTAAACAACACGATATCCTGTTATGTCCTTAAACAACACGATACCTTGTTATGTCATTAAACAACACAATTTTATGGTATGTCCTTAAACAACACGATATCATGTTTTGTCATAAAACAACACGATACCCTATTATGTCCTTAAACAACACGATATCCTGTTATGTCCTTAAACAACACGATATCCTGTTATGTCCTTAAACAACACGATATCCTGTTATGTCATTGAACAACACGATATCCTGTTGAGATTGATATAAAAAAAATGCAAACCCATCTTCTTCAGTCGCTTACCACAATCATTTACAATATGAATGAAGGAAACGGTTAAATACAATATGAAGATTGTAAAACAAGTGTGATTATTTCAATTGTCTTACAGTATCATGGACTTCTTGAAAGTAACATATTTGAGTCCATAATTTACTGTTTCCATATCACAGTCCCTTCATTATTCAAGCCGACCGAAACCACCATGAAAATGGCCAGCTATACCAGGTGTGATAATGCATATGAATACCAATAGGGAAATAGCCTACCTATACCGTCACCGATGCGATAGACTATAACTACAAACAGGAATATAGGCTAGCGCTATTAGCTACTAATGATATAACTAGGCAATAATACAAACGCTGCTAGAGAAATAAACATATAAAAAAATCGAACTCAAAATCGAGTACACTCCAGCGGATTTATCCACTATACCCGAGTCGAACGTCATGGTCAAATGCAAGTAATGTCATGTGCCCAAGACGAGAAGCGAGGCAGTTACAGTGAAACAACTAAGCATACCTAGGGTCATAGTAAAACATGGACCTTTGCATCGCTTAATGAAAGATTTGATAATTACATCATGATTGCGACCATACGACTTGTCGATATTTTCACCAACCTGCAATTCTCGGAACATTGTATCTGTCTTCTAGCAGCCGCAATCTCTAACGAACGATAGTCGGAGCAGGATTTTGAGTATTGAATTCATTGTGACACATTAACATAATTGGCGTCGGTTTTGGAATATTCCTGTAAAGAAAGGGAAAGTTCGTGATATGACTTGCATCTTGTCTGCAATCCAACCCTCCTGAGACCTGATATCATTTCATATTAACATGATTTGGTTTCTTAAAAAATCACGAAAGGGATTTACGGCTTATGTGCTCATAGACTTTTTTATTTGATATCATATTTGAATTGTCATAAAGTAAAGCAAATATTTACCTCCTTTAAGATCAGTACATGATTAATCTGCATTATATACAGCATTACATTGTACCTTCTATAGACTTATCATTTTATTGACTCCAGAGGTGGTCAGTAAAATGCCCTACCCATTCAAAATTCTGTTCATCAAGTGTATTGTGAGACTTTGACATTTCCGGAAATCAAATATGCAATATGTTATTTCACTGCTTTCAGGTTGACGGGAGATGTCCTACCATACCCATTCCGATCTACCACTCGCTACATGACTGTGTTATTTCAGAGTGACTTTGCTTTCCAGGATTCCGGGTTTAATGTATCCTACTCTCCAGTTAAGCAAGGTATTTATTATTTATTTTGCAACTGGCAATGACGAGTGTCATCTGTCTTTCATAACTAATATTACTTATGTTATCATATTCAGTTTAATTTAATTTTTCTTGTAACAAACCTTTTCATTGGCCTAAAAATGTATGTTATCATCTCATAACGTAAAAAATGACGTCGCCGTTTGTAACGTCGCTTTTGATTGGCTGCTACAGCACAGCGGCGTAATAATTTCTAACAGAAAAGAGTCCATCAATAAAAGTTGATTTCCACAGGGATTGTGTATAGTAGATTAAATTCTAAGGATTAACTTGAATATATTTTTTATGTTATGGAGCTATATACAACACAAAAAAACGGAGTGTACTCTCATCATAAACTGCTTCGCGGTTTATTTAGAGTACACTCCAGTTTTTTGTGTTATATCTCCATAACATAAAAATATATTCAAGTTAATCGTTAAATATTACAAGAAAACAAAAGAAAGACGATCTTTCAAATAGATTGTTGACTCTGTAATCAAAGGAAAACTGTGGTGTTTAATCGGACGTTCGAGTGTATCCAAAGGAGATCCGTCCTCAGGAAACGCAGGAGCTACGATCTGTTATGTTCTCTGCACCTCTGGCATGCTATCTGTAAGCTTCATGCGATTCTGTTGGTTACACCAAAGGATCACCCTAGTCAACTGGAATTACTAGTAAGGGGCCACGTACAGAGTCTTTAATTTTGTCATCACATGTTCCTTCAATTCTCCATGACAAATGGCAGGGGTGCAAAGAACATAACCTTTGGAATTTCGAAAATGACGGGGAGTATATGGTTAGTTTAAGCTGTGTATTTTTTCATACCTTTATCATTGTTTTGTCATAAGTAATGTAAAACATTATTGTTGAAGGTTATTTATAAAATGCCTGAATGGATATCTGATAACATTTGTTGGGTTACGGAATCCGAACTTCGGAACAATTTCAATCTAATTACTGTTTTAGTACCGGTATTGTGATTTCAACAGATTCAGTACGTGTGAATTTATTACTTTTAGTCCTTTTTCAATATAATCACTTGAAATACGATGATACGATGCAAGGAAGCGCATATTTTAACTTCTAAAAAGCTGATGCAGAAACTATAAAGTTTTTGTTAAAAGAAAGACATTTCAATTTTAAGCAAATATCCTATGTGAACCTTGCAAGGAAAGTTCTGGTTGTAGTTGAGCTTTTGAAATACACACGTGACTAGAAATTTCAGTAATGATATGCAAAGAATGAAAAATCTATTGACAACTTCAGTATGTCAATACGGATTGTAAAGCAAAGTAAAGATTTTGACTACATGATGTGGCCATATCCTAAATTTAGGAGTCATCTGTGGTACTAAAAGAATCAAATCGATACGTTAAGTGTCCCGAATTATATGTAAAGGGGTACTGTGTTTATATAATCCTGTATACCGTTACAAATTGTCAACTTGCGATACCACAGATAATTAACACTAATGTAATTAGTGTCAAAATGGTAACGGCCAACCTTGGGCACCGATAGGTCACTTATAACGTCAACCAACATGTAATGTCAAATAATCACGAAAAATACGAAACTACGCATCACCTAGTAATGAATAGGTTTATAAAGAAACCAAAATACTTTACTCCACAAAATGTTCATTTCATATACTGTTAGTACTCATCGATCGTTTTAATTGTCAAAAGATGTAAACCCATCTTACGAAATAATAAAGATGTATAGCCAAAAGGGATAGGGAAATAAAATGCAAACCAACGGTTTGTTCTTGGTTGGCGAGATTAAACTTTCAGTGTATCAGTTTGTTTGTTCCGTAATGTATCTAACAAGGTAACGCCATCAGTCTAAGTTTGCGCTTGACTACTTGTTTCAGGGAATTTAGGCGGCCTCCAAGGAACCATTTTCAGTCCCAACTATCCACAACAGTATTCTGCTGGCGACGACATAAAGTGGATTATTGAAGTAGATTCTAGATATTATATAAGTTTACTATTCAAGGTGTTTAACCTTGAAGACTATTATGACAATCTTTATATTTACGACGGATCGGATGTTTCTGCACCTCTGATTGCAGGGTAAGTACACTAACAAATATCAAAAACTATTTTCACAACGCGGATATTCCACGTGAAATGAAAGAAAATTAATCTATTTAATCCAACCATGTTTCAATACAAATGTCGTTCAACACAAAACAAACTCGTGACTGTTTTAGCTCTTGCATATATATGTTGTTAATTCATATCGTATATTGATTATGACATGATCGGTGATAATTTACGAAGTTTTCATGTTAATGTACAATTGACATATGGAGAGTGGCATATACAAGTCATCCTAAACTGTGTGGTCGAGTGGCGTAGAGGATAACACACTCACCTGTCATCAAGGTTGCCGGGGTTCGCTAACATCCGGGCAAACAAGAGTGATTTATATAAGTTGACATAAACTGTCGTATAACAGTTTTAATACAAACAATTGTTTTATGTTCACGGTAGGTCAAACAAATGTGTTATGTTCAAGGTACATCTGAAGAGTTTGCAATGTACCATGTAATTTCAGAACGTGTCTCCATGTGTATATGCTTGTGAGTAGGATGCTGTTTGTTGTATTTGCCTCCTTGCGATATCGAAGATCTGATGTTGACTTTACATTGCTGCTTTACTCAATACTAAGCCAAAAGCACCCCGCCCAGTATGCCACCCCTTCACACAGTTTACTAACAGCAGATTAACTAGTTGTTATGTTGATCCTAAATGCTGAACGCTAAGTAGGAAATAGCAACTACCGTTTTAGAGGACTTCGGTACATGTATAACCCACCCTCGGGAAAGAATTCATTGTCTTCCCCAGTATGATCAGCTTTCAATACTAAGACTGTCACGAGTCATCTAGCAGCTGCATCAGATTGGTCTGACACACAATAAGGATATATAAGATTACGTTCAATTATGTCACTCTAAGTTATTCATGTGAACAATGTATAAAAACAACCCTATAAATAAGTATATAAGTATATAGTAATGATATATAAATGTATAATAATGATATAAATATAAATGCCTGAATATGTTTTTCATGTTCTCCTCAGTTTGACGGGATCCGATCCTCCTGACACTATCTCATCAACAAGGAATGTAATGTTGCTACATTTTGTGTCAGACGGGTCTATACAAGATGATGGATTCGAGATCGACTATATCACTATACAACGTATGTTATTGTTTACAACCCAAACTCAGTCACTGATGGAAATATCTATGTTTGAAGTATATTACTATTCTCACACGGTAACTATTGGATGTAATGCTGTGTGGGGTATATTACTATTCTCACTCGGTAACTATTGGGTGTAATGCTGTGTGGGGTATATTACTATTCTCACTCGGTAACTGTTGGGTGTAATTGTGTATGGAGTATATTACTGTTCACACACTGTAACTATTGGGTGTAATGCTGTGTGGTGTATATTACTATTCTCACACGGTAACTATTGGATGTATTGCTGTGTGGAGTATATTACTGTTTTCACACTGTAACTGTTGGGTGTAATGCTGTGTGGGGTATATTACTATTCTCACGCGGTAACTATTGGGTGTAATGCTGTGTGGTGTATATTACTATTCTCACACGGTAACTATTGGATGTATTGCTGTGTGGAGTATATTACTGTTTTCACACTGTAACTGTTGGGTGTAATGCTGTTTGAAGTATATTACTGTTCTCACACGGTAACTATTGGATGTAATGCTGTGTTGTGTATATTACTATTCTCACTCGGTAACTGTTGGGTGTAATTGTGTATGGAGTATATTACTGTTCACACACTGTAACTATTGGGTGTAATGCTGTGTGGTGTATATTACTATTCTCACACGGTAACTATTGGGTGTAATGCTGTGTGGTGTATATTACTATTCTCACACGGTAACTATTGGATGTATTGCTGTGTGGAGTATATTACTGTTTTCACACTGTAACTGTTGGGTGTAATGCTGTTTGAAGTAGATTACTGTTCTCACACTGTAACTATTGGATGCAATGCTGTATGGAGTATATTACTGTTCTAACTCGGTAACTGTTGGGTGTAATTGTGTATGGAGTATATTACTGTTCACACACTGTAACTATTGGGTGTAATGCTGTGTGGTGTATATTACTATTCTCACACGGTAACTATTGGATGTATTGCTGTGTGGAGTATATTACTGTTTTCACACTGTAACTGTTGGGTGTAATGCTGTTTGTAGTATATTACTGTTCTCACACTGTAACTATTTGATGTAATGCTGTATGGAGTATATTACTGTTCTCACTCGGTAACTGTTGGGTGTAATTGTGTATGGAGTATATTACTGTTCTCACACTGTAACTATTGGGTGTAATGCTGTATGGAGTATATTAATGTTCTCACTCGGTAACTATTGGGTGTATTGCCGTGTGGAGTATATTACTGTTCTCACATTGTAACTGTTGGGTGTAATGCTGTATGGAGTATATTAATGTTCTCACTCAGTAACTGTTGGGTGTAATGCTGTATGGAGTATATTAATATACTCCATACAGCATTACACCCAATAGTTACCGTGTGAGAATAGTAATATACTCCATACTACAATACACCCAATAGTTACCGAGTTAGAACATTTATATACTCCATACAGCATTACACCCAACAGTAACCGAGTGGAGTATATTACTGTTCTCACTCGGTAACTGTTGGGTGTAATTGTGTATGGAGTATATTACTGTTCTCACACTGTAACTATTGGGTGTAATGCTGTATGGAGTATATTACTGTTCTCACACTGTAACTATTGGATGTAATGCTGTGTGGAGTATATTACTGTTCTCACTCGGTAACTATTGGGTTTACTGCTGTATGGAGTATATTACTGTTCTCACTCGGTAACTGTTGGGTGTACTGCTGTATGGAGTATATTACTGTTCTCACTCGGTAACTATTGGGTGTACTGCTGTATGGAGTATATTACTGTTCTCACTCGCTAACTGTTGGGTGTAATGCTGTATGGAGTATATTACTGTTCTCACTCTATGGAGTATATTACTGTTCTCACACGGTAACTGTTGGGTGTAATGCTGTGTGGGGTATATTACTATTCTCACTCGGTAACTATTGGGTGTAATGCTGTATGGAGTATATTAATGTTCTCACTCGGTAACTGTTGGGTGTAATGCTGTATGTAGTATATTACTATTCTCACTCGGTAACTGTTGGGTGTAATGCTGTATGGAGTATATTACTATTCTCACTCGGTAACTGTTGGGTGTAATGCTGTATGGAGTATATTACTATTCTCACTCGGTAACTGTTGGGTGTAATGCTGTATGGAGTATATTACTATTCTCACTCGGTAACTGTTGGGTGTAATGCTGTATGGAGTATATTACTATTCTCACTCGGTAACTGTTGGGTGTAATGCTGTATGGAGTATATTACTATTCTCACTCGGTAACTGTTGGGTGTAATGCTGTATGGAGTATATTACTATTCTCACTCGGTAACTGTTGGGTGTAATGCTGTATGGAGTATATTACTATTCTCACTCGGTAACTGTTGGGTGTAATGCTGTATGGAGTATATTACTATTCTCACTCGGTAACTGTTGGGTGTAATGCTGTATGGAGTATATTACTATTCTCACTCGGTAACTGTTGGGTGTAATGCTGTATGGAGTATATTACTATTCTCACTCGGTAACTGTTGGGTGTAATGCTGTATGGAGTATATTACTATTCTCACTCGGTAACTGTTGGGTGTAATGCTGTATGGAGTATATTACTATTCTCACTCGGTAACTGTTGGGTGTAATGCTGTATGGAGTATATTACTATTCTCACTCGGTAACTGTTGGGTGTAATGCTGTATGGAGTATATTACTATTCTCACTCGGTAACTGTTGGGTGTAATGCTGTATGGAGTATATTACTATTCTCACTCGGTAACTGTTGGGTGTAATGCTGTATGGAGTATATTACTATTCTCACTCGGTAACTGTTGGGTGTAATGCTGTATGGAGTATATTACTATTCTCACTCGGTAACTGTTGGGTGTAATGCTGTATGGAGTATATTACTATTCTCACTCGGTAACTGTTGGGTGTAATGCTGTATGGAGTATATTACTATTCTCACTCGGTAACTGTTGGGTGTAATGCTGTATGGAGTATATTACTATTCTCACTCGGTAACTGTTGGGTGTAATGCTGTATGGAGTATATTACTATTCTCACTCGGTAACTGTTGGGTGTAATGCTGTATGGAGTATATTACTATTCTCACTCGGTAACTGTTGGGTGTAATGCTGTATGGAGTATATTACTATTCTCACTCGGTAACTGTTGGGTGTAATGCTGTATGGAGTATATTACTATTCTCACTCGGTAACTGTTGGGTGTAATGCTGTATGGAGTATATTACTATTCTCACTCGGTAACTGTTGGGTGTAATGCTGTATGGAGTATATTACTATTCTCACTCGGTAACTGTTGGGTGTAATGCTGTATGGAGTATATTACTATTCTCACTCGGTAACTGTTGGGTGTAATGCTGTATGGAGTATATTACTATTCTCACTCGGTAACTGTTGGGTGTAATGCTGTATGGAGTATATTACTATTCTCACTCGGTAACTGTTGGGTGTAATGCTGTATGGAGTATATTACTATTCTCACTCGGTAACTGTTGGGTGTAATGCTGTATGGAGTATATTACTATTCTCACTCGGTAACTGTTGGGTGTAATGCTGTATGGAGTATATTACTATTCTCACTCGGTAACTGTTGGGTGTAATGCTGTATGGAGTATATTACTATTCTCACTCGGTAACTGTTGGGTGTAATGCTGTATGGAGTATATTACTATTCTCACTCGGTAACTGTTGGGTGTAATGCTGTATGGAGTATATTACTATTCTCACTCGGTAACTGTTGGGTGTAATGCTGTATGGAGTATATTACTATTCTCACTCGGTAACTGTTGGGTGTAATGCTGTATGGAGTATATTACTATTCTCACTCGGTAACTGTTGGGTGTAATGCTGTATGGAGTATATTACTATTCTCACTCGGTAACTGTTGGGTGTAATGCTGTATGGAGTATATTACTATTCTCACTCGGTAACTGTTGGGTGTAATGCTGTATGGAGTATATTACTATTCTCACTCGGTAACTGTTGGGTGTAATGCTGTATGGAGTATATTACTATTCTCACTCGGTAACTGTTGGGTGTAATGCTGTATGGAGTATATTACTATTCTCACTCGGTAACTGTTGGGTGTAATGCTGTATGGAGTATATTACTATTCTCACTCGGTAACTGTTGGGTGTAATGCTGTATGGAGTATATTACTATTCTCACTCGGTAACTGTTGGGTGTAATGCTGTATGGAGTATATTACTATTCTCACTCGGTAACTGTTGGGTGTAATGCTGTATGGAGTATATTACTATTCTCACTCGGTAACTGTTGGGTGTAATGCTGTATGGAGTATATTACTATTCTCACTCGGTAACTGTTGGGTGTAATGCTGTATGGAGTATATTACTATTCTCACTCGGTAACTGTTGGGTGTAATGCTGTATGGAGTATATTACTATTCTCACTCGGTAACTGTTGGGTGTAATGCTGTATGGAGTATATTACTATTCTCACTCGGTAACTGTTGGGTGTAATGCTGTATGGAGTATATTACTATTCTCACTCGGTAACTGTTGGGTGTAATGCTGTATGGAGTATATTACTATTCTCACTCGGTAACTGTTGGGTGTAATGCTGTATGGAGTATATTACTGTTCTCACTCGGTAACTGTTGGGTGTAATGCTGTATGGAGTATATTACTATTCTCACGGTAACTGTTGGGTGTAATGCTGTATGGAGTATATTACTGTTCTCAATCGGTAACTGTTGGGTGTTATGCTGTATGGAGTATATTACTATTCTCACACGGTAACTGTTGGGTGTAATGTTGTATGTTTGTATTACTATTCTTACATTGTAACTGTTGGGTGTAATGCTGTATGGAGTATATTACTGTTCTCACTCGGTAACTATTGGGTGTAATGCTGTATGAGGTATATTACTGTTCTCACACGGTAACTATTGGGTGTAATGCTGTATAGAGTACATTACTGTTCTCACACTGAAACTGTTGGATATAATTATGTATAAAGCATATGAAGGTCTTTCAAT